CTGCACATCTTATTTTGTTTTGATGATAATTGGTAAAATATACAGTACATATTTCTGCTTATTGAATAGTTTTTCTGTTTAATAATTAATTTATATTGAGCCTGTTTTCCAGGATCTGTTGTGTCTGCAATCAAATAGCAAACAAAGTCACTCAAAAAAAGTCACTTTGCTAAGTTTAATTTCGGGGTATTGATCCAATTACGCACACAGCGGCCCCTGACGACATTTCTCTGTATCAGATGTCCAAGTTATGGTGGTCAGCTGTTTTAAAAGCAATATGCACACAGATAAAATGGACCAAAGAGTTCAAATAGGTTTAAGTCAATGAACTATAGTGTTTGTTCCTCACAGTTAAGGCCCCTAAACATCCTGTTTGGCTCCAGTCCACGTTGGTCAGCAGGTGTCTCCTCAACACTTTTAAAATAATGCTTAAACAGGCATAAAGTACTTAGTGAATAAAAGGAATGATATGGATATGATCTTATATACCTTACAGTTGTTTACTTCTCTCTTAGGATTCAAATCAGGTATGTAAATAGAATTAACAAATATTTGTAGTTTGGTATCATTTTGTGTGTCATGGTGGACTGGAGGCTGTTCCTGAGGAGGGCAGGGTACACAACGCCAGGTCACAAGTTCAGCACAGGGTGAAAGTACAAACATCAATGCTCTAGAGGAAAAGGAATTCAAATTCAACAAAAACAAAATAATTTAAAAATGTATTGATCCCCAAGGGAACATGTTACATGGAGTAACTCATGTTTTTTTTTTTTTAATGAGTTGTTGTAGAAGTGGATAGCTGTAGCAGTCTGTCTTGCACCGGATCTGGAGAAGCCTCTGACTAAAAGCACTGTTGTTTAGAGGCTGGTTCATATGGAAAATACTCTAGATTTAATATTCACATCCAACTTTTAATTCAGGAGGGAATAAGTGGAAGCTTTGCACAGATGTGACTCATTAACATTGAGAAAATAGAGGAATCACTTTTTTCTCTCTCACTGCCTGGAGCTACTGCATCTCCCTGCTTTGGAGAACACAGGGAACCCAGAGAGATAGGTACTATCACTTATTTTCATTAAAGTCTGCAACAACATGGGAAACCGTTGCTAAATATGTGGCTAGTAGCCTGAAAATATTATAGCGGATCAATCAGAGCACACTCACCTTTCTTTGAATGTGAATAAGAAAAAAAAAACATTCTTCTGGCTTTTCATGTAGGAGTGTAACCCCTTTATATACATTCATGCTCATTTTTATTGTTTTATGGAGGAAAGAAGTAGCTTGGATGCAGCCTCTTCCAGACAACTCCCAGATCAGCTACTCTGATTTTAAACTGCACTGCAGCTTTTGAGCTGCAAAAGTTCAGAATTTTAATCTCCAGCATCGTATTTAAAGGCGCTTGACTTAGTGGACGCCACATACCACAGGAAATTGGCCCAAGACAATGTTGGGTTGCACATGACGAGCTACAAACACCATTAAACTTTTAAAACGTATCGCAACCTTTTGCTATTACTGTTTAATAATAGCAGAGGGTTCTACTGAGCAACGCCACCCAATCTGTAGAAATTAGCACAATTATCGTGAATCCAACTTAAAAGTCTTCTAAAAAGGTTGGTTTTCCATAATGGTCTTCATTTAATGGTCATTTCTTTTAAACCTATGCATTTACACATTTTTCCTATTCTTTTATTATTTTCATTCAGCTTGAATTGAATTCATGTTATATTTAGATTTAGGGTTTATTTTATGTCAGCTGTTTGTTTATATGTAGCACTTTATCAACCTAGCAAACTCAGCTTAAGTGAAAAGTACTTCTTAGCAATAAAACGTTTTCTGATTCAGATTCGTCTGATTCACACAAACAAACCAGCAAAGCTATGTTTCTTGTCTTGTAAAAAAAAAACTAAAAAAACCTTAAAAGTAATAACATAATTATTTTCCAGTTAGAAAAAAAAAAATCCTCATCAAGTTTTAAGACACTACTAATGAGTTAACACCCATCAAACAACTGGTAAGAATGAAGTACATAATCAGGAGAACTTCCTTTAATTAAAAGGTGTTTCTTCCTTTAAGCTGTGGGACTTTTAGGCATTTGAGGAAATCTAGTCAGATAATTTCATAAACTATTTAAAAACCATCTCAGTCTGAACGTTAATTCTGCCATTTTAACACATGAATGTACTTTTTTTTTTATCTAAATTGCTTCATTCATTCCCTGGATGTGTGTTTCAGTTGTTGTCCTGAAGGGAGAATTTCTGTCCCAATCTAAAGTCTTTGCAACTTCTAATAGTTTTTCTTGCAGGATTTTTCTGTGTTTTTTTTCCATCTATCATCTTATCAAACCTGACCTGCCTCTCTGTCCCGCTGGGCATCTCCACAGAATGAGGCATTCATTCATTGTGGGGAAAAACTGTTTATTTTTATGTGACATTAAACATTGTTTATGTAGATCAAAAGTTCTGACTTTGCTTCATAGCTTTGGGTAATAAGTGAACTAATAGGATTTTAGTAGACTTTGTCAAAAAGGTGATAAAAAAAAAAAAACACCTCGCTTTAAAAGTCTTCACTCTAAACTCTCATGCTGATTGTTTCTTATGCGGACATTTTTAGTTGTTGAGAAGTTTTTGAATGCCAATGTTTCCTTTCCATTATCTAAAGGTGGAGTCTACAGGAGCTCAAGGTCGGTTCTTCCTTCACCATCTTTGAATTTTAAAATGATGAGGTGATATATTAAAACATAACATGCTTATTTGTTGGTTGATAAAGATACAAATTATAAGATTTAATTAGGGAGCTTTGCAAAATGTAAAATTGGAAAGGGACATCTTTGCAGAAAAAAAAAGTCCATTGGTTTATTAAGAAAACAATCAGAACAAACCTTACAAAGTGCATTAATGCGTCTCTCTCACATTTTAGTACAAATCTGATCTAATACTAAAGTGAATGAATTCATATTAATGAGTAATTAATAATACAAATAATAAGCAGCCTCATTTAGGCTGATTTTGAAAAGAAAACTCTATAAAACCTTTAAACTATTGCATGTAAAAAAAAAAGACAAATCTGCACACTGTTACAGTTTCCAAATCCATAATTCTCAGCTGAAATGTAAGAAACGCTTTAATCTCAGTTAAGAAGTGTGCAGACAGACCATGCAGTAGCATTAAGACTTATTTTGGCGGATTGAGCTGTTAGCTGTGCTTGTCCTCTGTTCTCTGTAGCTTCACCATTGAAAGCAACTTATTTACTCGTAGAAATGTATGTGCTTTTTGGAGATTAGGGGCATCAGTTAAGTTCAGACAGCAGCAACAACACTGATGCTGAAAGGAGACATTAGTTAGCCAACTTTAACGAATACAATCAACAGTCAAAATGCATGCTTTATCCAAAGACTTGTAGGATTTTTGCTTTGTTGCACTATTCTATTATTTATATAGAAAAAGAAAACATTGTTCACAAAGTGTTGATGTTAACTGATTACACTGTAGTGCTCATGGTGCTACTGGCTCTGAATATAGTTTATAAATGTGAATAACTTGTAAAATATGTTAGCTCAGTCTGTTAGAGTTAAACTAACATGGCATTGTCACAAACGCATTTCAAGCAGTAAAATCACATCTTTAAACCAATGAAATACATTAACAACATAAAATAAAAACAAATATATAAAGATGTATTTTTTTTACTTTTTGTAAAACAGGAAAAAAGATATTTGATTTTGGAATACATCCTTTGTTTAAATTGTTTTACACACATTAAAATAGGTTGAATGTGTTGTAGTAGGGTGGATACCATATAAGAAGGAGTTCATCAAATCTCTGGCTGCATGCCTTTGCTCTTTTTCCTCTTTCTATTGGCAGCTATTGCCTCAGTAATCTAAAGTAGGTTCAATACATAGACCAAAACAAAGTGTGATTGTGTTTGGCAAAGCACAACTGGGACTAAGCAAGGAATATTTCATACACCTGGTGATGCCTGTATTTGTTGGCTTTATGTCAGCTTTCTTCCCAGTAAGCCACGGGCAGCAATTTTAAAATATAACAGCGCATTTTTGTTTGCATTCTATCATTCACAACATCGGTGCTTCTGGTGTTGATGAGAGCCATATTTCTGCAACAAAACATTACTGGCATCTTCAGCACACCAAATACAGACTAATAAAGCCCTTAACTGGTTGTATGTTGAAACCGTAGCTGATTAACAGCTTTATGCTTTTACGAGACTGAATAGCCAAAAGGGCATTAACAGGGAAAATAGTATTACAATTTTTTATAAAGTGCTTCTAAAAGCTTTGTTAACCATCAGATTTTTCTTGTTTAATGTATTTATTGTAAATCCTAGGAGTTCTGCCATTAAAACTCATTTTCAGTGGGCTGTGTGATCATTTCCTTTTCAGGGGCCTCATGCACGAAAAGCCCACAGCTTTCATAATCAAAGTTGTTGGTATGGAGATAACTTGAAACTTGTCACACAAACAAAAAAAGTCATATGCAGATTGGTATAAATGACATTATTTTTCCTTAGCATGTGTTTCCTGCATCAGCATCGTGTGTTTGCTGCATGTTTTCACTTTGATCCCTCTATTTTCTGTGATTACAGCATATTTTCTTTGCATCAATGTCCTTTGTCTGTGTTTTTGTTTGTTAGTCAAATTTTGTGTCATGCATTTGCATGGTATTTGCAGCCCTGTGCCACTGTACATGAGGCTTTTGACTTTTTGATGCTGCAAACGTTGCAGATTTAGTTCTTAGGCCATATTTGCCTTTTTTATGTTTTGACATTAAATTATTTGTCAACCGCCTTTTGTTTTTTTGTTTTTTCTTTTTACAAATGCTGCAACATTTAAAAATTCAGAAAAAATTCAGCAATTGCAGTGCTATTAAAAATACATAAAAATTACCTCCTTAACTATAAAAAAACAACGACAAAAAAAAACACCAGACATATAGGGTTAACATATTAGTTTATCTCCAATCTAACATCACTACTGTTTTTTTTTTTATTTTTTTTATCTCTGGTCCAATTGAATTGAAAGATATGAAGATGCTGAATGTTCCAGTACAATATTAGCCGTAGCTGTGGGGGCTGCGGGGGTCAATCGGTGAGGAGTCCTCCCTCCCGTTCTGTCCAATAAGCTGGTAGAGACGGTGGCTGAGATTCTGCACCTGACAGGTACCAAGGTAGCACCCTACCCTCATCAGGTGGCCATGACTTCTTGCACCGCCACTGCTGGCATGACGACGACCCCGTGACCTTCGCTGCCACACCGGCACAACCTGCAATGCATTTCTGATTCCATGAACTGACATGTCAGACAGCTGGGATGTTGGATCTCCTTGTGATGGGATCTTCCAGACATTTCTTGTGTCTTTCTGAGGGATTTGGTTACTGAGGGCAGCAGAGAGATCGGTCCGTGTAGGTGGGGAGAAGTGGGAAGGTGACTCTTTATTGATTTTGGATACACTGGAGAAAATAAAACAGAAAAGAAGGTTAGGATGTGTAGTTATTTTACTAATTAATAACAAAGTGTAGTCATTGCTTTTCCCATTGATTTATGAAAAACTGAAATGACTATATTATTCTAGTGCTAAAGGAAACATATACATAATGACAGCACCAACATAAATGATTTATAATCAAACATTTCTAACATAATCTCAGTCTATGAAACTGTCCATCACAAAAAAGGGCACCACCATATCTGGAACATGAGTTTTTAAAAACAGGGGGAAAATGTATTATTTTCTTTACAAAAATGTATTGGTTGAGAATATATGCTACATAAACCACATAGCCCTTTTACTTAGAACTTATTGCAACTACATATATGATAAGGATTGTTACACTAGTAATGATAAAGATTCTCTGCAAAGTCCAACAAAGTTAAAAAACAATTCACTGGACTTTGTTTCCAAGTTTGAAGACGTTTCGCTTCCCATCCAGGAAGCTTTTTCAATTCAAAATGTCAGAAATAGCGTTGAGTTCGAAGCTTTATAGAGTAGCCCAAAAACTTGTTTTGGCTTAGAAAACATGCAAATCGAATCAGAAGAACGGGTCCGCCCCTCAGTATAGGAGAGTCGTTTGGGTTCTTTGTTAGCCTGAAATACCAAATGCTGGTCTATGCCTCTGAAAGGGGGCATTGTTGGCCTGGCTGACCAGGCAAGATGTTTTGATCGCCTGTATGGGGATGGGGGTTGAGATAATAGCGGGACTTTTTAAACTTACTATGACCTGGATGACTGAGAATCTTCACCAGCATTCTCTGGAAAGGTAAGTGTAACTGTCCAGGGGATAGTTAAGAGTTAAAAACTCTGTTTATGGTTAGGACAGTTCTATAATTTATGAATATTTATTTTAATTGATTTTGTAAAGTTCATTTACTGTTTTTTAGTTGTATGTGAATAAAGGTTACATGACTTGTTCAGTTAGTGGATTTGAACTGAATTACAGGTAATCCAATATGGCTGCAGAGAAACATGCCAGCATTGCAGAAGCATTACTGATCCACTCAAGAGGAAAAGACTAATCTGTTCTGGTTGAAGGGCACACATGGTTTGTTTTGATTATTTGAATGTTTCATGTTGATATTTTAGCATGTAGGATCCATCTCCGGTTTAATCTAGTTTTGACCAATTTTCTTTGAAATCTGTGTAGTCAGAGACATTAACTTTGTGAACGTGCTATTGAAATGTTTTTATATTCTGCATTTTTGTAGTTACTCTTACTGAGTAGTTACAGTAAGATTTGTGAAAGAAATGGATGAAGAGATCAGATTAAACTCAACCTTATTTAAAGAGCCCTTTAAAACAATCACAGCCGCCACAAAGTGCTGTACATACCAAGGAAAGTTTAACATGTATAAAAACAACACAAAAGTTTAAAGGTATAGTGGAGGATGTTCTTTTTCCGAGTGGATCATCAAAATAAGATGTCCTCCTAACTGTCAATCTTTCCGGTGATATATTTACGTAAGGCTGTCCTAAGTGCTCGTCCCCATTTTCACTTACCGGTGGTAAATCTGACATAGCAGAAAAACTTTCCAAATCTTCTTTGGGAAAGTAAGCTTGTATGAGAGATGCAAACAGTAACTTTTAAACAGAGTGTGCACGAGGAGAAATGGGCTCATGCATGCTCTCGCATGCATTTAATAGACGTTCCCTCTCGCCTGCACATTTTTTATATAGTGGAGAGGGCGGGTCTTTTTAAACAATTGTGAAAATCCACTACTATACCTTTAAAACAATAAAAAAATATTGCAGACATTTTTCTATGAACAGGCTGCTGTTTCTTTTTTTTTCTATCCCATTCTATTCTATTGTATTCTGCCATTTTTGCTAATGAAGCAAAAACTCTACATATTAGTGGTGAAAGTATGAATGCTAATATTGCAAGACTGGATTTTATTGTTTTCTTCAAGCAGTGAGAAAAGGATTAAAACCTGATTCTGATAAATCCAAATCTTCTCTGACAGAAATAGTTGAACAGAGGATATGTAAAGAAATAAAATAAAAAGAATCATTGAAGTGTTTTAGACTTGCCAACAGGGTAATCTGTTTGTGATGTCTGTGGCTTTGTCCATTGAAACCATTTTCAGTGCTCACACACAGCCACAAAGTGATGGTTTGTTTCATTTACAGCTTCTCGGTTAATAATTGACATTTCCTAGAGTCCCTAATATAGACCCTAAAGCCCTGTGGTTTGCTCTTCTTTCCCAGCCAGACTGGAGTGGTTCAAACCGACAGGGCTGAGAAGCAGCTGACGCTTGGGTTTGCTCTGGCTCTACCACAGCTTAAACAAAATATCAATTGGAGTTAATCAACAACGCTGTGTGCACTGATATATCTCAGGGGAGCAGAGAGGGAGAGAACAGGGAAGTTACGGCCATGAATGGACACTCTGAATATTGCTGAGACGATTCTGGTTGTTCCTCATGAGTGTGTTTCAAGCACTCTTATTCTAACCTCCCTGCTGACTTGCAGAGTTTTTGTCTGCAGACATCACAATACACCTTTGTAAGTCCCCCCCCCCCTTCTTTAGACGTTCAAGAGTTCAAATACAGAGGGTCATATGACCCTTCAGAGATTATGCAACACTTAGTATACATGATGGGGAAAAAACAAGGACGCAACTCATAATAATGACATGGCAAGGTTACCTCTGTGCTGTTTACCGTTGTTATGAAATACATTGGGTTTGACTCAGGAAAGTGAAATTCATGTAGAATTCATGGCCATGCAAAAGTATTTAAACCCCTTGACCCTTTTTACATTTTTCCGTGTTAACACATATTTTTCATTAGAATTTAAAGTGACTATTCACATGAAATAGCAGAGAGGCAGGCAGGCTCAAAGGTCCAAACACAGAAATAGATCAGGATCAGACTAGGATCAGACTAGCAGAACACTATAGTAACGCTAGAGAACTCTCAACACCAAAAGGCTGAAGAATAATCTGGCACCGATGGCTGGGAACCAGGCAGCTTAAATACAAAACCAGAACAGAATATGTGCTACTTTGCCTTTAACCATCTCCAACAACAACAAAAAGTTGTTTAAAAGTTTTAACTTCAATAGAGTAATTCGAACTGTTTTTTTTAGTGTGCCGATGCCAAGATGGTAATGATAATAGCTGAGGAGCAATTCAGGAAGTAAAAATAAAACAATGAAACCGAGAGGAAATTTTTAATTGGTTTAAAAAAACAAATGAAATGTCATATACACATATACCTCTTCAACCTGGGAGGTAAAGAGGAAATGTGGGTCTGAAAACTCTTGAAAGTTCTTCTGTGATTTGCAACTTAAAAAAAACAGCAGTTGAAACTGTAGCAACAAAGGCACAACTGCGTCTATTTGTTTTATTCATCCTCAGAACAGAGTGAAATAAAATGTATTAATGATCATAGGTTTTCCTCTGTTAAACTTTAAATTTTAACAGATAATTGTATGTTATAATTCTAATATCCTAAAAAAATTAAGAAAAATGTAAAACAAATATATATTTTATGTGGTTCACAGCAATTCTTAGAGTATGCATATATTAAAGAATATATAAGGTGAATATATTAAACACCAATGTTTAGTTCTATGGTAAAATCCATTGCTAAAAAACTATTTTTATTTTGTAAAAATAATAAGTATTTATAGAGAAAACACTTGTTTACACAGTTATTTTTAAACAGGAAGATGTGAAATAATAATCAACTTAAGGTTTGTTAAGAAAAGTGGGCCATAATAAATGACATTCTTTATCCTGAGTCTAATCCTGAATGGTATTTTGATCACTCCCCCAGCTGGGCATAGGGCGCCCTCACTGCCAACACAAATGCATGTTTCACTGGTGGCTAAAGCATCAAATGTTTTAGGTATTTTCAATGTATACTTAATGGATAAAACTCAAACAATGGCATTACCTAATATGTTATTATTTCTTCATAATGGTTATATTACTACATGGCATATGAAAGTAATAACTGTCTTCAAGTTATAAACATACAAAATAATTTTAAGGTTTCACAGATTCATAACAAAGAAATATATACTTGTTTTCCTCCCTAAATAAACTTTCATCCACACATTATTAAATGAACTTATGAAAAGCTGCAGTGAGGTTAAAAAGTGTGTCTGTGGATTGAAGGCGGTATATTTGTTTTGCAGGAGTTATGTAAGCTAAACTAAATAAAGCTGGTTGGAATTTATGATAATACTGGGTTACTTGTAAGTTATGAAAATTAGTTTATCAAATAAAGCTGGATTTATTAATCAGAAGACATGAAAGACAGGTTTGAGCTCATTGAGATTATTGAGCATCTGCTTTTGATCCTTCGTATTAAAAATAATCTCTGCTTAGTCTTATTTTGGGACAGAATTTTCTTAGAACTATACAAAAACAGTCTTGTCAGTTTGTAGGTCAGACATGGGCAATGTGGAGTCAACAAGTCATCTCCCTGTCATGTATTTGTTCTACCCAGCCACTGAAGGAGGTGAGTCCAATCTTCACCGTGAATTAACCTGTGCAGATTGGACTCACCTGGTTAATTGGCTGGGTAGAACAAATACATGACATGGAGATGACTTGTTGACTCCACATTGCCCATGTCTGGTAGTTTCCTAGAAGTGCAAAATGGTACAGAATTTTAGCATTTATATCAATAAATCAATCAATAATCATAGATAGATCATAGATCATTTTTGAGTGTTCTTAGCTGCTCCCAGTAGCCTTCTGGATTGATGTTTGATGTCTCAGCAGTTATCCATTGGAGCCACTTCTGCAGTGTGGAGGTTTCTGTCCTGAATGCCCTGATGCAATTTAGCCATTGTTTTTTGGCAGCCTTTCAAGTTAGTCTTTTGGATTATGTCATTTCAGATGCGTATGTCTAGCTTTAGTCTACATTTTGTTGTGTGTGTATCCTATCTATATAGTACACCTCCTATAATTGAAATGTCTTTATTGTCCCAGAATGGGGAATTTCACTCCCTGCATTTAACCCATCCCCTTGGGGAGCAGTGGGCTGCCATTGTGTGGCAGCCGGAGAGTAGTGTGGAGTTAAGGGTCTTGCTTAGGAACCCGGAGTGCAGGCTGTGGGGACTGTATTGGGTATTTGCAACCTTCTCAGAGCACAAGGGCACTGTGTGTTCCAGGAATCCACAGAACAGGTTCAGAGTTCCATGCTCCGAGCAAAAAGCAGATGCAGACAGGCAGAATCCAGCAGGAGTCCACAGATTAGTTAATTAGAGACACTAATTCACTAACTCCTGCTGGAATCTGCCTGTCTGCATCTGCTTGTTGCTCGAGGCATGGAACTCTGCCTCCATGCTCTGTGGATTCCTGGAACCCTGGATCTGTCTGTTCCTGTGTGGATCGGAACCCCTGACTGGACGGCGGACTCCTGGATTCCAGAACTGAGCCTGTGTGATCAGTTTCCCTGACCTGGATCGGATCCCTGCCTGGTCACTGAGGTTGCTGCATCGGGGACATCCTGGGCGGCTCTGCGCTGCAGCTCATTTGGCAGTCCATCGGCTGGATCCTGACTTCCTCGGAGAGGATGGACTGAACTCTTTAACAAGGTTAGTGACTCACACAGATAATCAACTCCCGTCAGATGATCGTGGTTACTAACCAGTGTCAGATTTTGGGTGGGCCTCACTCTGATTGGTTATAGCAGTGAGCCAAGCAGCAAATTTCAGAATTTCAAACCCCAGCTGCCACCTGCTTGTGAAGCTCATGACACACCTTAAATGCTTAATGCTACGTTTACACAGAATGCTATTCAAGCAGCAAAGAAACATCTGCTGCTTCATTTTTTTTTGGTTCTACACAGATGTGCCTCAAGAGCTTCCTTGATGCTCCTCAGGAGTGTCAATTAAAGTGTGTACAGATGTTTCTAATGCTTCTGCTGCTCCTGTGTTTAAAGGAAGATGTTAACTATATTTGCTATGATAAGTGGGTAAAAAGTATTTTTATGTTTTGAAGTGAAAAATCCCACCTCAAAACATTGTCTGTTCAGTTAGTTCCTCACTATTACGATCCTGCCTTAAAATATTATTTTGCTGTCGGAGCCGCATAGAAGCCAACATACAGATGGTGTATTGTCACTGGGAATCCCCAGCACCAGCTGCCTCAGGCCCGGTCACCTCTTGAAGGTGGAAGTATATGTTAGCATTTTTCAGGTATGCGGTACAAACTGCAAGTTAATTTTACAAGTTAATTTTAGAATTAATAAACTGTTTTGGTGGCGTAATTATAGCGCTCTGCATGAGCAGTCCAGTTTCCATCTCCCTGCCAGCTCCCAGATTAGCTTCTCTGGTTGGTTGATGTGCAAAATTTCAATTGTTCCAGCTCCAGAATCTGCTGCTTGTGAAGGGCTTCATGCGCCTTAGATGCATAGAAGCTCACGAGGCGCTGCTTGGATGCATCAAGATGCGCTGCTCCTGCTGCTCGAGGCGAGCTGCAGGACCTTTTGATGCACCTTGTTGCACATTAACATAGACTTTGCATGTAAACTGTCTGTTCCTGCTGCTCGAATCGCATTCGGTGTGAATACAACATGTTTGGATGATGACATCGATGGTAAGTAATTCAGACCTGTTGTAATACATTATAAATTTGGCCACTTATGGTAAACACTGAAAAATGATTAAGTTGCCACTTTTGTGACAAATTGATGTACAGATGAAATTTGAGAGAAAAAGTGAAATACTTAGCATGGCTAACACAGATTAGCCAGAGCAGTGAGTTATCAGCAAAATTTCATAACCAATATTAATGCTGTGCAGTTTTGCCCTCACAAGTAATATGTTCACCAATTATATGGAGAGAAGTGATACCTGCACATTTAACATATGGCCCGCCAATATGAAATATACAATTAAAAGGAGAGTGCTGATATATGCATAAGCACACCAGAGTAACTGATTAGAAACAAAGCAGAAAAGTCTATCTCTATGCTGCTATAACTGTAAACTTTAAGATACATTATTGTCATATTAGCAGCCATTCACTACTGGTGCAACTTCGGTTACAGACTGGGTTCATAAAAGAACAGCCTCACATCCCACCAGTGGGGGTTGATTTGCTATATCTCCAAGCTACTCTAAGACAACTTGGACTACAACTCTTCTGACTTATGCAAGACTAAACACTATATTATTTCACTTTATGCACTCAAATGAGATACGGATATCAATACAATTTTACCCTCATTGTGGTGTTCCATATTGAATTTCTAAACATCTTTTTTTTTCTTAACATCTAAATTGTCTTTGATATTTGATCTTTATGTTGAACTGTTTTATGTTATGTGTTCAGCACTTTGTGAAATATGATATTGTTGTATTTCATAAATACAACAAATCCAGTTTAAAAAATGAAAAACCAAAGGTAGTGGGAGAAAAAGATTAACTTTGCTTCCTGTGACTGAACAAGAACAAAGATCTTTGAAAGACATGATAAACATTAGTCATAGGAAAACCAGAATCGATATAAACAGTTGCTGTTTATATAAACCACATTTACTCTCTGGTCAGACCTTGGGTATTGTAAGAGAAGCGTAAAGACATATGGAAAATATTTTATACTTCACAAGGCTGTTAGCAGGTTTAATACTACAGTTATTGACAACAGCAAGAATCACACAAAAAAATGCTTTTAAAGGTTGTAAAAATATATATATATATATTCCTCCTCTTTGTTAAATATAATTTCACTAGGACTCACCTAGAGTGTAAACCAAGCAGTTTGCAGGCATTGAGCTATTATCTTCTCCTTACATTTGATTATGATAGAATCCAATCTGAGACCTTCTGATGCACATCTTTAGGTCCAAAATACATGATCCTCAGGTGGAAGTTAAATATTTCTGTCCTTTAAGATGTTGCATTAGTGAAAATCCATTAAATAAAGTTTTAAAGACAATGAATCAACTGGGATCTGCATTTATAGTGGTGTAAAATAAAAGTATTTGTCACACTACTGATAGAAAACCATGGAATATTATACTAACCATTCACAGAGTTTAAGGGTTTAAAATATTACTAAGAATGAATACATGCATATTAAATGTATGTCTTAAAATAAACTGAACCACCTATTATTATCAAATAAAACCTTATCTCTTTGTTGATTAATGTGAACCGCTGTCTCACATCAGAAGAAGGCAAAATACTTCCCACCTTCCTTCCCAACTCCTCAAATCTATTTTCACAGGCAAAACTTTGACCCTCCATCAGAATCCTGCTGTTTCATAACAAGGACCTCCTCTTCTCTTTCTCTCATTACTGGCTTCCTGTTCTCTGTTGGCATGATGGAAAAGAGGCAGTGTGATGCAACATCAGTCTTAGTTTGAATAGCTGTTAGACTGTCCTTCTATATCCAAGATTTTCCTTTGATTTCCTTTGAATTCTCATGTCTGCCCTCCACAGTGTCTTTGGTTAGTGCTTATATTGCTGTAATTTCCCTCATTGTTGCTGCCAGGATAAAGCTTGGCCCCTTGGTATTTAAATGTGTTCCTGTCCCAAATCCCTCTAAATCACCAGCACCACCATCTCAACCTCCTGCTGCAGAGATGAATCACCTTGTTCTACTGGTGGACCTTTTTCCCACATCAATGACTGCCACAAAGCACAAATAGAGCTAATTTCTCACCATGCTGCTCTAAACTACAATCCTGAGTCCTTACTGTAGCTAAAAAAAGCTTGGTGATTCACCCTATTATTAGTCCAATAAATAAAAAATAAAATGAATGAGCAAATAATCAATAAATAATAATTATAATGTTTTATCATTGTTGTTAGGTTTGAGCAGCAACTATTTGGAAGATGTTTTATTGCTGTTTTCGCATGTTAAAAGTGCACAGTCAGATCTCTTCAGTCCAATTCTATCATAATCAGCTCAATGTTATACAGCACTAAAATACTTCAGCAAAAAAAGATAGTGATTCATCCCTATCAACTTTTCTTAAGAGCCTTTGTTCTCAGAAAGCATAGGGTTACCTGTGTCTGTGAGCCCTCAGATCCCAGGACTGGATCTCCACAGGCTGAAGGCTGAGCAACAGGCACAGCCAGACCAGAGGAAGGCCCCTCATGGCAGCAGGGAGTAGACAAACCTTCCTGGAGGAGGTGGTTCTCAGTAGAGCCAAATACTGGCAAAACTATATCTGATTGCAATTTAAAGTAACAGCGAAAACGGCTTGAGGAATGGCTGCCTAAAAGCAAAACTGCAGCTTAGAAGTCCTGATGAAGAGTCCCAGATTGGTTTTAATAAAGGCCAGGGTCATCCGGCGTGTCTGCTGCATCCTCCGAACACTGACCTGTTATCTGACTTGAGAACTTGGTACTTCATTGGAGTGCTCTTATGAAACAACTGGAGGGTTTCTCATTTATAAACCCACTCTAGAGAAGCCAGAGGGGGAGGAGGGGGGGGAGGGAGGCTTATTTTCTTTCCCCCTTAACAACCAAAAACCTATAACCTAATTAAACTTCTCTGGAAGCTCCAGTCTTCCTGTCTGATATTGGTTGGAGCAGAAAACTATTTTTGGTTTATGGCATTGTGTGTGAGTGTGTGTATGTGTGTAGGTTATAATTGCATAGATATGAACAATAGAACCTCTAAAGGTTTTTCCATTTATTTTTTCCCATTAGTCATGGCCAGAAGTATTGAGAAAGACACAGATATTATATTTTCACATGAATTGTTGCCCTCTGGTTTTCATGTGTGTATGTCAGATGTTGCATCACATACAGAAATACAATTGCAGTCATATTCTGAGTAACAAAAGCTTTTAATGACAGTTAGAATTAGTTCATGCAGCAAGTCAATATTTGCAGTGTTGACCCCTCTTCTTCAGGACCTCTGCAATTCTCCCTGGCAGGCTCTCAATCAACTTCTGGACCAAATCCTGACTGATAGCAGTCCATTCTTGCAAAATCTCTGCTTGCATTCCTAGGTTTTCGTTTGTCCAACGGTCTCTTGATGATTGACCACAAGTTCTCAATGGGATTAAGATCAGGGGAGTTTCCAGGCCATGGACCCAAAATCTCTATTTTTTGTTCCCTGAGCCAGTTAGATATCACCTTTGCTTTATGGCAAAGTGCTCCATAATGCCGGAAAAGGCATTGTTCTTAGACGTTTGGGAGAAGTTGCTCTCGGAGGACATTCTGGTACCATTCTTTATTCATGGCTGTGTTTTTAGGTAAGACTGTGAGAGAGCCGACTCCCTTGGCTGAGAAGCAACTCCACACATGAATGGTTTCAGGATGCTTTACAGTTGGCATGAGACAAATCTGGTGGTAGTGCTCTCCTCGTCTTCTCCGACCAAGCTGTTTTCCAGATGTCCCAAACAATCGGAAAGGGGATTCATCAGAGAAAATGACTTTACCCCAGTCCTCAGCAGTCCACCCCCTGTACCTTTTGCAGAATATCAGTCTGTCCCTGATGTTTTTCCTGGAGAGAAGTGGCTTCTTTGCTGACCTCCTTGAGACCAGCCTTGCTCTAAGAGTCTCCGCCTCACAGTGCATGCAGATGCACTCACACCTGCCTGCTGCCATTCCTGAGCAAGCTCTGCACTGCTGGTAGCCCGATCCCGCAGCTGAAATACTTTTAAGAGACGGTCCTGGCGCTTGCTGGTCTTTCTTGGGCGCCTCTCTCCTTGAAGTTCTTGATGATGCAATAGATTGTTGACTGAGGTGAAATCTTTCTAGCTGTGATGCTCTTTCCTGGCCATTTATGCGCAGTGCAATGATGACTGTACATGTTTCTTTAGAGATAACTATGGTTCAGAGAAGAGAAACATTGGTGCCAAGTACCAGCCTCTTTTTAAAGTGTCCAGTGGTGTCATTCTTACTTAATCATCACAGATTGATCTCCAGCCCTGTCCTCATCAGCACCCACACCTGTGTTAATGGCGCAATCACTGAAACAATGTTAGCTCGTCCCTTTTAAGGCAGGGCTGCATTGATGTTGAAATGTGTTTTGGGGGATAGAGTTCATTTTCTAGGCAAATATTGACTTTGCAATTAACTGCTGTTACGCTGATCACTCTTTATAAAATTCTGGAGTATATGCAAATTATTTTTGTATATGCAAAAGTAGTAGACTTTGTAAATATTAACATTTGAATCATTCTCAAAACTTCTGGCCATGACTGTAAATGTTTTGCTTTTAAAAAGAATAGCAAATCCTTTGGTTAAAGGAAATGGTGCATCTATCATTAACAAAGAAATGTAATAAAACCAGCTCCCCATTAACTGCATATTTTACATACATAGGCACGGCTAGCATGGTGCATACTGTACAAATTTGTCACAGGCATGATCTATTGTTGGTTTATCATATTAAACTCTAAAACATTTTAAACTTTGCTGATTATTTGACTCTATGCGTATTAATCCTTCTAAACATCATGCTACCTTCATTTCTTAATTGCACTATTTTTTCATGTATTTCTGTTTAACAGTTTCTCAGATAGCCCAGCTATGAGTCAGCCAACACCCTTATAGTTTAAAACATATTTGCTTTGTTTTTCTAGATTAGAATTTGTAAATTGTAAACAAAAAACAAGAGAAATGAACTAAAAAAAATAACCAAAAACCTTTTTTTTAAAAATCCAACAAATTCCCCCCAAAACTAAATTATTGAATAAAATACAGCAGTGTCATGATTGTGCCCTTTGTGATCTTCTGTTTAAGTTTTTTTTTAGTTCTAAGTTACACTTTGATTTATGTTATTTTGTGTTTTCTTGATCATTGGTGTCTTTTCCATTTTGTGTTATATTAAGCCATGTTTTAATTTTTAAGTTACTTTCTGTTGCCCCCTTGCGCCAGTCTTCCTTCTCTTAGCTCCTTCTAGTTACTTCTGTCTACACCTGCTCCCTATCAGCTAATTAGTCCTCCCATTGTTTCTGTCTCCCATATATACTCCTCCCTTTTCAGTTATTTTTGCTGGATTCTCATCATTCTTTTGGTTTATTCCTCCCTCGTGTGTCCTAGCTCTTTTGGTTCTTGAGGTCTCCTTGTCAATCAGTTCTGGACTTTGTATTTTAATGTTTTTTTATTAAATCTGCAAGAAACCACCTCAACTTCTGTCTTTGCATTTGGGTCTTCTAAAAACCTCCACATATCAATGCGTTTTTTTGCACCATGTTTTTTTTCCCTCCAACTCTGTTTACATTTGATCACTGCTTAACTTTAAGGAATGGAAATGTCATGAAAACTGTACTAAACGAATTTTCGTTTTGTGTACACTCTGTGTATACATGTTGAAACATGTTTAAACATGTTAAATCACGTTACACAATAAAAGTAAGATAGTTATTAGTTTAGATGCCTTTTTACGATGTTTTACCTCAGAGCCACAGACTTATTATAAGGTCAGCTGCAGTGACTGACATTTATTCATCTTCCTCTGTCTTTTTGCATTCATAAAAATTTAGTTTCAAAACCATTCATTAATTTTGCAGTGCCTCACCTAAAACATGATCAATGCTTTTTTCTGCTTTGTACATCCCTTCTTTTAAGCAACAGCTTAAGAGAAGTGAGGTTCAGCAGCAGCATTAGGATTTAGTTTGGTAAGACCAGCACTCAGCTGATGATGATTTAAGATGATCTGTGTGTTACTCACATGCAGCTAATCTGAGCACTCACATGGATCGGTCTCAGAAGGAAAGAAAATAGCCTGTGCTTATATTCACCACAATAACGGAGATCTTAGCTTTAGCATGAGTCTGAGAAGAATGAAAGTAAATGATACATGGATGTTCTGCAGAGGGCCAGTCATCCACTGAAGTGATTCTGTTCTCGGTTTTTATCACAATGAAAGAACTTTTCTTTTCTGTAAAGGAGAACACGGATGAGAAGCTCAAAGTCAGAGTCTAATTAAAGGACCTTTCTGTCCTTGGAGGTGGCTTCAGTTCTTAATTAAATGATTGTGTGATGAGTGTGCTCTCGTTTGTGACTCAGCAGTTTGTGGTATTAAAGTTCAAGCTCAGTTTGCCCTACCTGAAGCCTCGAGTCCAGCAAGTGTGTTAACACATCTTTAACCCGTCAAGAGAACAAACCTTGAAGTGTGTGTGATTGTAGGTATTCATTTCCAGACTATGCATGCTTTTCCTAGCTCCACTTTTAAATCCTTTGAAGGTGAAACATGGTGCAAGGTCTCTGTTTCAGTATTTGTGTCTGCTGGACACCTCAGACTGAAATCAGAGAACAATTGTTAAGATGTCTTTTCTCTCTCTCCATTTTTTACATTGACATTCTCACTTTAGTTTTTTTGTATTTTACTCTCTCGTGAAAAATAGTGCCGGCAACATTTATTGGATCATCCGGTAAAGATGTGAAAAACAAAAAAATAAGACAAATAGTATTGTATAATGATGAAGTCACTGGTAATATTGCAGCCAATTCATTTTCATCCATATCCAATAAATATCCTTAAACTTAAATATGAGAACAATAAGTGATATGTTTTTTTATTGGTAAATTAAAAAATACTGGAAACTCTACCTGACTTTTTTAAGTTACTGTCAACTATATGAATTATACAAAAATATAGTTGTAATTCAACTGTTAAACATAGCCTAAATAGGTCTTAAAAACTGCAAAATGCATGATAGAATATATAGTTTCTTAAACAAATCTACGTGACACTTCTGATGCCATCTGTGGTCTATGCTGTATATGCATCCACCATTACTTTACATTACAACCAGAGGCAGTTTCTTTAACCCTTTATAGGGCAAGGTACTGTTTTTGATCACTTGCATACCCGTTACAAATGGGGTGCATACTCCTTACAAATTGAGTCCCCCCTGTCCCTCAGTGAGGTCCAGAAGCACAAGATCTATATCCAGCCATTCAGCAAGGATACTGCTACATGGCTGTATATCTTATTTTGGCATTTGACCAATTAGATGAGAAATATATTACCTCCTGTAAATTAAGCTTAAAAAAGTAAAAAAGTCAAGAAAAAAAAGGTAAAAAGCTAATTGAAAAGTAAGGGTAAAATTTAATAAGCCTAGTTAACAATTATATTTAGGTTTATAAACTAAAAAATGTAAGTGCCAGTATCAGCATTAATGCCTCTAAGGTTATGTTGTACCAAACAAAATTGTTTCTTTGACGTTTCATGAGTGTTTTTCATGAATTTCTTATAGAAACACTTTGTTATTTTTCTTAATATGTTCAAGCAAGTTGATGTTTGTTGTTATTAATTGAAATTGACATTGGCTTAAAATTTTGATTTTCAAATTATTTCACTGAGGGTCCTATAAAGGGTTAAAATTGATGGCAAGGTCTAGAAATATTTTGAAATTTAAAGGTATAGAGGAAGATTTCTTTTGCCAGGTGGATCATTAAAATATTCGTCCTTCTAATTGTCAGTCATTCTGGTGATATGTTTACGTAAGGCTTTCCTACATGCTCGTTGACATTTTCACATACCGGTGGTGAGCCTGACATAATGGAAAAATTGCAAATCTTGTTTGGGAAAGTAAGCTTGTATGAGCGATGCAAACAGCAACTTTTAAATGAGGAGAAATAGACTTGTGCATGCTCTCACACAGGTTTAATAGTCAGATTCACACAGCCATCTAACAGGCATTCCCTCTCGGGAGCAGGTACAGGGTTGTGCATGTGCATTTTTTTTTTTAAGTGGAGAGGGAGGGTCTTTTTAAAATTTTGCAAAGATCCTCCACTACACCTTTAAATTTGTTCTTTGCAGTTAAATGATCCTTAGAGAGTAGTAAGCTGGCACAGTACAAAGGAACATAGGAAGGAATCAGGGGTTTATGGGTTTGAAGCAAAAACCTTTGCAGCCTCTCTGTTACACAACCACCCAGTTCTCTAACCACTGGCCAATTTGGCTGGCATCATCCTGTTAAAAAAAATGTTAAATCCAACAACCTATTTTCTATCTGTTCCTTCAAATTCCTGAAATTTTTTTTATGTGCTGTATTCCTGCAGGATGTCGTTGCCCCTCCACAGCATGAAGTAGCTAGTAGCTCCTGCTGAAAAAAGTATAAGAGAAGGCTAATGGCAGCTGGGATGGAAACATTTTTGTTTCTTCTACTTACAGCATGGCAATAGGAAGAGGCATGGTGCTTTTTTAGGCATCTGAGAATCTGATAACTTCAAAATAACATACTTTAAATGATAACACTGTAAAATGTATTTAAACATTTATGCTTCAATGTTAGACTTTTTGTTGTAAGCCTGAGTTACCAGTTCTATTTATGTTCACTTTGTTTAAAAAAAAAAAATACTATTTATATTTATACACTTTCATTCTATCAGTAATTGTGACTCCCCTTCTTACCATTAACAGATTTGTTCCTTCTTATTTATCTGCATGATAATACACTGTAGTACTGAAAAATTATATTTTTCAGGGTCTGATAGGAACTATTCACTGAGAAGGTAAATAATTGACCTGGATTTGCCGATCAGAACACAAGGCTGATTGACATGTAAACAGAACAGGCTGATATTGATTACACAATACTTGTATTTAACATAGAGCTATTATGTATGCATTACAACAGCATCACATGTCATTAATCTTATTTTACAGCGGGCATGAGGTGCTTTTCCATATAACCAACCTGTGTTTAACTGCAGAATCAAATGGATCCCTCATCTGAGCAAACAACAAAGCTCCATATAAAGTTCCTGCTGTGGCTAAGGAGCTCTACAGCATTACATTTATGATGCTAGAACATAAAAAGTTTTTTTTTTTTTTTCTGGCATTACTGCATGTTATGTTGTTATGGAGACAATAATGCATCTATTATCAGAAGTTCTGGCTTTTCACAGCTAAAAGAAATGGGCCTCTGTGCCACCTTATACTTATATTGCAGGGAAACTGATTTAAAGTTCCAACAGTTAAAATATAAAAGTAAAAAAAAAGTGACACATCATTAAAAGGTTGGACTGCTATAATAAAAACCTAAATTCATCCTAAGCCTCTTAGGATGAATTTTACCATGGAGGCCAAGAAATAGACCATAAGCATAAAGCATATAACCTTGTTAATATCAGACTGTGATATAAACTCCAGAGTAGAGCAACAATTATGTCCTGTCTGTCAAAGATACTGGATACAAGCGAGAAATGTTGAACAACGAGTGCAAAGTGCAGCCGAAATAACCAGAACAAAAAGAAACAAATTCCCAGTGAAAGCAAAATGATGCGTCAGGTTCTCAGAAAGCAAGTTTCAGCATCAGAACTGATCGATCTGATGTTTCAATGATTAAGGTTGGCTGGGGGTCACAGCTGCAGGGGTTTTGTCTCCCTCCTGTGGTGATATAATGAATTGCAGGGTGATGCAGTCTTCTATTCCTACAGGCACAGTCATACTTATATAAATGTCTATATTGTGAATAATTACTATTGCAGCAACACATTATCTGTGGGGTAAACCTAGCCTCACAACTGTGTTTTATTGAAAAACGTGTGTTAATATCTGAGGAAAACAGATCAAATTTTATTCATTTAAAATTACAGCCGTTAAAAAGATGAATAAAATAGATTATTGCGCAACATAATCGTAAATTCAGTGCTAAAATTTAAATGCATTAGATTTGGTTAGATTTTGGCTTTGCTAGATAAATTAATACCATTAATATTTAAATTCCCCCCTGGAGCTTTAGATAGTGTTCTTTTAAACTATACAACTCTTAAGATGACTATCAGTCAATGAAACTGCTTGCTATAAGTCATAATTTTTTATTTAAAAAGGAAAAAATACAGCTGCTGCAACATATTTTAAATTAAATTGAATAAATGAGTCAAAGTAATAACTTAAATTCATTTTTGCAAATAGGAAGCATGAATTAAATAATTTGGTTTTCTATTTATTTTGCATTTTACTACTAAAGAATGATTTCATTTATTTTTGATTTTCTCATATATGACTATTTTTATATTTAATTACTTATTAAGTACTTTGGCCCTTCATTTAAAATACACTAGCTACATTATATAAAAAGTCTGGAGGTCAAGTGAATTTTTTTAATCAGTCAGGGTCCAGGTGAGCCTGTGTGAACAGACGGATCAAACGACGACTGATGCAAGGATGAGTTGTGGTATGTTACTGATAACTCTTGGAATATATTTTCACGTGTGCATTTAGTATGTTTAATCAGCCATGAGATAAAGTGGATCCAGTACCAAGAACTGACATCACAACAAAGGAATATTCAGGGAAAACCCTCTAAGGATTTCAATTAAGGGAATATTCCTTGAAGAGTCCCTAAAGATCATTGGCTGCTGCAATGTGTGTTTTTTTTATTTTGGGGACTTACAACCATCTTACAGTTTGCTTGATTCCCTAATTAAATTGTAAATATGTTTAAAATAAATATATATATGAAATATTATGTGTGAAAAGCATAGAAGGAAGCTGTAAAAACATAGCAGTAAGAAACTTTAAGTTTCACCTGGTTAAAAATGATCAAATGTAAAAAATAAACATAATAAAAACAGATCCCACTGTGTCATACTTTAACAAACTAAGGAGAAGAAAAGATGGAAGACTGTGAAAAACTTTTTTACAGTTACAGAAATTAAAACTATTTTACAAGATAATAGAATCATGGTAAAAAGTTGGTTTACATGTCTTTACTTTTTACAGAGCCTTTTTTTCCCCCTAAGTCATATTCTGATATTTCTAAACTGATTCTCATTGGATCAGGCATTGGTTTTATTCCAGACATTCATGTCCAATTTAGGTGAACTTAGGAACATAGTCTCAGTTTCCATCTCTCTTTATATTAATCAAACTCAGCATCAACTGGACATTTTCTTCTTTTTTAACCATCGTAACTTTGATAACTGCAGTTCCTCAAATGTTTTGTTTGCTTTCAAAGCAATGATATTTGTTGTCAAATCATGCAAGGAATAAATATCTCACCAGTGGACAAAACATATGAGCTACCTTTAGTTTGATTGAAATGTCTCAATAACGTTAGGATGAAGTGGCCGCTGCACAGCTACTATTTTGCATAGTTTTAATGCAAAAATTCAACAATGGAAATAAAAACAAAAATACAGAAAGTGAACAAAGGAGAATGCGATTTCCAGACTTTACTAATGGCAGCAGCTTCTGCAGTTGTTCACTTTAAAGGCTGCACCGGGCTTTAGTTAGAAGTCCAGAATTCCACATAGAAATGAAATTAAATAAAAAACATTCAGTCTTTCAACATGTAATGACTGTTTGTCACAAATCTTCATACACCTATGAACTCGTACAGTAACTGCATTCACACAATAATATTGCAGGACCTTTACAATAAAATAAGGCACAATTATACTAAAAACAAACATGCAATAAAGGCGTTATGATAAAAATGAAAATAACTGAATAACTGAGCTTACAATTCTGAGTGAATGCTTCCAGATCTTCTTAAATCTCGCATCAGAAAAATATCTAAGCTGCGATATACACTGTACTTATGCCAAGAACAGTCAGATATTATAGACTATACCAATAAATAAGCAAGATTAGGGAAATAGGAGCGTTTCATTTGTGCTGCTCCAGAGCCGTGATGAGGTCCTGCAGAGGCTTTGTGTCTTCAGGCTCCAGCAGCGAGTGTTGCTGGCAGAAGAGCATCAGGTGGCAGAAGAGTGTGTTTAGGTGTGGGTGCAAACCTAGAACTAGGACCTCACTGTAGTGAGACCAGTAAATGTGAGCCAGAGTCCTGAACAACAGCAAGAACACCTTCTGGACCAGGAAGATAAATCCATTTGGAAATGCTGCACCTGAGGTGAGGAGAAAATATGAACATTTTGATATATATAAATGGAGAAGAATGTGTGGCAGAACAACCACAATCTATCAGAGAAAATCTACCTGCTTTTGTGGGGAACACATCTTCGTCAGTGAGAAGCTCCTGAATGTACGACATGGCGTAGTCAAAGTAAAGTGGAGCGGAGCATTTCAGCTTCCTGCCATGGTCGTCAGTCCAAAAGTAGACCCTGGAAACAGGAAAACGGCCGTCTAAGTGAGAAAATGTTGACTCTGTGATTAACTGCTAAGATTTACTGCAGTAAAGTACTAAAGTACTAAAAAAAGTGTTTTTATTCTATTAATCTATTATTTGAATGGCTATTTTAGCATTTAGCTACTCAAAGCAATGACATTATTTTTCTTCATGCACTGACAAAGATTTAAAATAAGCAAGATCCTATGGCTCACTGGGACAGTTGCATGTTGTCTTTATGTTATGTATTCTTAATTACCAAAAGCCAATGAAGCCATATATAAAAAGGACTTTAAGCACAAAAATGCGAAATGTGGGAAATAAGCAGTCTTTCTGCACCAGTGGCAAACCACTTTTCTTGTAGTTCTAGAAACATTTTCCTAAAAACTAAAAAGAAACACTACATTTAATAGAGCGCTTAAAAGGAAACATAAGGGTTAAGGTGCTGATAGTGTGGTTTACTGTAGCAGCTTGTTAGACTCTGCATGTTTAATCTAAAATGACAGATCTCCAATCAGTTTGATAAAGAGTTTAACATTCAAAGAACTAATTTTTGCAAGCATAAAATCCGATCTGTAAAACTGCACTTATAGTGCAATGATTCATGCTGTTTTTTTTAGGGATGCCAAGTATTATATAAACCTTTAAATGGGAGCAGGGTCTGGGTGGAGTTAGTTGAACAAATGTCAACCCTTATTGGACTATGTGATGGAAGAAAAGAAGACATAAAATGTACCAGATTTCTCAGACTGATGATCAGCAATCACCACATCCACCAAGCTCAACCCCTTCAAGCAATAACCCAGCTTCTTTAGAATGGGTTTGTTCTGTATTTCATCATGTTTTTTATATAACCTAAAGTTGGATCACAAAGAGAAAGTAGTTTCTTTGTGATTAAAGCTTTTAGCGCTCTATAAGAGCTTACAGAACTTGTTCGGAAAAGCCTCTATTCAAATCCTTTGTTTTTATAACTTCTATCAAATAACAAGATGGACATTTTGATTCATATACATTCAGCCTAAACCAGATCATATATTTTTAAACATTATTTAAGGTCACATAAAAACATTCCTTTAAGCTAAATGCTAAAAACAATAGAAAGGAAGGTGCATTCAGGTGCATCAGTGGGAGCCAAGTGAAAGGGAATGAAAGCATGCAGACACACAAACAAAGGGAGACAATATAAGGGACCGTACAGTAGGAGAAGATCCACAACATAATGATAATAAAGCACAGTTAGTAAAACTGGCATATTTACATATCAGGGTGTGGTTTTGTATAGCGATTTAAAAGTACACAAAACATGTTAGTGTACTTTTGCATAAAAATCTATATACTATATACAAGAAATGAAAAAAGTGTCCAAAAGCAGCGGGGAAGTAAAAATAAAGTTCTAGAGAGCTGAAAAGTTCTACCCCTTTTTTGTTAAATATATTTTCTATATCTTTAGTAGAATCACCTTTTAAACTGTATGACTTGAATCATTTATTTTATTTTTTTGCATTCTTCAACAAACTTTATCCTTATTTTGCTTTTTACTGGCCCTTGCCTCATGATAAAAGTTATTTTAATTGCACAAACGTTTTCATCTCTGCTCACACATTTTCTGACACATTGAGGTTTTGTCCCAAAACATTATTTTTGTTTTCTTTGAAACCACTTTACAAATTAGGTCCTATACTGAGGTTCACTGTCTATTGGCATCAACCTAGATGATTGATGTTTCTGAATGGACTCTCTAATTATGTGTGAATGTATCCAACATATATATATTAAAAAAAAAAGAAAAGAAAAAAACTTATCGGACATAAAATCTTTAACCTGATTTAATGTCAGACGTTGAGAAAAAAAAAAGTTCATTCTTATTATACAGGGGTTGTTTAACATCTTATTTCACCCACAATAGTTTATTTTGGGGCTATTCCTTGTAAATAATACTTTGAATTAAAGCAATTTGAGAGTATGATGGGTTAAAATCTCTTGGTTGCTGTACCTGGGTAGAAACTAGTTACGTTTACTCAGCAACATTTACTTACGTTTTTCAGGAAAAAGAAAAAAAGAGCAATAATGTTTTAACCAAAAAAAGTTTCAAGCACACATTAACAGTTTGATTCAACATGAAATTACTTATGTCAAATAATCTGCAGCACTGCTGCAAAGTTTCAGTGTCAGGTATATTTAAAATATAAAGTATACCTTTTAAACTGAAGCACTTTTTAACATATATGAGGGGCATTCAATAAGTAATGCCCCTGACCCACTTCCAGATGTTTGATCCAGCTGAAATTTTGCACGTGAGGTTATTTACATCTCTATAGATTAAGTAGCAAATTACAGCTCTGAACAATTTGTGGTTTCTAACTTACAGGTGTTTGAACTGATTAAAGTCTGAAATGGAGCCTGTTGAGTGTCTAGCAGACTTTTGAAGAAATTAAAGTAACTTATAGTGATGATGCCCATTATATGACCTTGCAAAATGTTTAACAAGGTTATATTATGGGAGATTATCACTATAAGTTACTTTCATTTGATCAAAAGTCTCCCATTGGGTGCGTCCTTTCAAATGCAAAAACACAGATTTGACTCAGTTTGAACACCTGTAAATCAGAAACCAACATTAGTTTAGAGCTGAAATTTGCTATTTAATCAATAGAGATTTAAATAACTTCACATGCAAAATTTCAGGTCGATCAAACACCTGGAAGTGGGACAGGGACATTTCTTATTAAACGTCCCTTGCATATTGTATGCAACCAACTACAGTTACTTGTTTTTAACTGCTTTAAGTTATTAAGTTAAGAGCTTATCCTGCTTCATTTAGTTAATTTATCATGCCATTTATTTGACTTAGTTCTTGTATTTTTTAAAATCCCATGATTTGGTATATTACTTCATATTCTTATCAGTCTTAATCATTTTGACAAATTACATCAGATAGTTATGATGTAATTAGTACTTGCACTTTTATCATATACTACCATATTTTGGAGGACTATCTTTTACTTCTACTTTAGCATTGACATATGGAAGAAATGCTTCTCTTAATTGAGTATAATTTTAGGCAAGGCCACCAACCTCCACTTGGTTGCAGTGTAATGCTCAGTAACTCACACATTGCCTGGTCCACAGGCGGTTGGACAGGTGCTGGGAGTGCAGAACTCTGACAGGGCGCTGGAGAACAGGTTTACGTGCTTGAAAAAAGCCACAGCTGAAACAGATCAGACATGAATACCAGTGGCTATTTTTTTTCCAGGTGTCCATAGTGGAGAACAAACATCAGCTGATACTTACTGTTGGAGGCCAGCCACTCCGCTCTGTCCATACCAGGCGGCAGTGACGTGAGCGCAAACATGTTAGCGCTTGTGATTCTCTGGCAGGCGTTTTGCTGCTGCAAATACGGACGTTCCTCCTGGTTATTGTTGTTGATTCCGCTTGGGAAGATGGCATAAAGTTAATGGAGCGAAGGAACAAAAAGAGAAAGGTTGCAGAATTGGGGAATATACAACCAGTGCTGTATTAAAAAGTGGATTAATTATTCGTACTGCAGTTTGGAGATAATATGCTCGTCTGTCTTGCCCCTTTTCCGGCAGGCTCATACATCAGGGAAAAACATAAAAAAAATAGTGCAATAACAGCACTACTTCAGCAGTTAATGCAATAAAGCCAGTCGGTTCAGTGCTAAGGTAATTATTGTTAATGATGCTGACTGCTGCAAAGGTCATTGCTGCAGAGCAAATAACAGGGAGGGGTAAAGCTTTACACCATGCATCATTTCCCAGTCCTAAGGTAGAACTACATAATGTGTTGGGAACATTTTCTAGTAAGAGTGTCTGTAGATAATGCTTCATGCAAATGCCAACATATCCTGGAGAGTCTAGCTTGGCAGCGTAATTTGACTATTTAAAGTAGGTCTGACTTCTCTGTTTAGAAAGGTCACTACTTTGTTTAAAAGACGTGCATTTCTTTTTAAAACTCTACATTTTGTGATGTTAGATAGTTTTAAAAAAAATATTTGGACTGGTACAGATGGTCAACAGATGACAATTTTAGAAGTTTGCCACAGATTCAGAGCGGGATTCGGGTTTGGACTTTGACTGGGACATTTTCACATTCAATAAACTTTGATGAGAGCATTCCACTGTTGCTCTTACTCTGGTTGTTATCCTGATGGAAGGTACAACTCTGTCAAAGTGTCAAGTTTTTTTTTTTTGTTTTTTTTTTAAAGCTTCTAACAGGTTTGCTTCCAGGATTGCTCTGTATTTAGCAACATCAATCTTCCTGCTCTGATAAGGTTAATAATGTCACTAATTTGGGCTTGGTGTGTTCAGGGGGATGTGCTGTGCTACTGTTCCATTGTACAGTGTTTCCCCAGATACATATTGAACCCTTGAAGCACCTTTATATGTGCAGCACCCTGTAATATTTCTTCCCATTCATCCATGCAGGCAAATTTTTTTGCAATGCATGAATTGTAGAAAACTTTAAAACAGATCAGCACCAGAACTGTTTCGCTGTTTGTTTCTTTTTTTTAAATAGTTTTGTAGATTATGCTTGATCAGAGTCTCATCATTGAGTTCTCAAAATTCTGATATTTTTAATCTAATCCTGGCTTAAACTGGTAAAAAACTTAATCTCCGACTTCCTTTTTAAGGCAATTTATTTATTTATTTTTTTTACAAATGTTTTATTAGAAATATTCTCAGTAATTACACTGAATTGTATTCTGTTTATATTACAGAGGATCCTACATGTTTTCTTATAACTATTCCATACTTTTTCTAATCAGCATTTCTGAAAAACCCTATTTTTAAAGAGATATTTCTGCTTTGGGCAGGTGTTAAAGTATTGCAATAATCCATGATCTGAAAGGAAGGAACGAAAGAAGGGTAGCAAGAGAAGGTTGTAGGAAACTTGAAAAAAAAAATATGATTAGGAAGGAAAGAAAATCCAGGAGCAGGAGAAAGGACCAAGAACAAAACTAAGGAGAGAAATGAAAGGAGGGAGGACAGAAGGTTAGGAGGAAAACTGACGGATATTAGAATAAACAGGAAGAAAGGACATTAAGAATGAAAGAAACTATGCTATAAAGTAGGTACTAAAGAAGGAAGACACTGTTAGTAATAGCGGGAAACAAGGAAGGTACTTAAGAAGGACATAAGGAAGGAAGGAAACATGAAAGGAAGAATGAGGAAGGATACAAGGAACGAGGAAAGAAAATTCAGACAATGTTTGGAAAAAAATATTTTATTCCTACTTATCTTATACTTTCCCCATACCTATCCACACCTGAAAGATACAAAAATTAGCATTTTGTTTCCTGTATTATATAGGAACCCCGAGTTACATACCGCTGGACTTTACTGGACTCTTTATAGAAACAATTTAGTGACTACTTCAGGGGAGTATTAGTGTAATGGTGGCTAAATAAGGACAAGCTACACTTTACTTATTTTGTTTAAAAAAAAGAATTAGAAGCCCTCTATCAGATTCCTTCCACTTTATATTAATTATCTATTTTGTTTGGTCTCACATAAACCCAAAAGAAATGCAATGTTTGTAGTTTTTAAAGTGACAAAGTGTGAAAAGGTTCCATTTTAGGTATTCATGTAGGACAGTTTTTTGAAAAAACAGTTGATATTGCTGCTGCCATGTAGTTTTTAAACATCCACGGACAAACACGCAGCAGCTGAAGGTTTACTCATACTGACCTTGCCTATTCTGATAAGGATAACACTGTTCTCTGTATCAACTCCCAACCCGCACACACGGGTTGTAAATATGTGTGTGTGAGTGCTGGCTGTGGAGGGAAAATTTGTTTAATGGTTAAAACAGGAGGTCTTTGTCTAAAGGTAGAGCTCAGTGAAGACACACACAGGGGATGAATAGTGACAGTGAAGAATGTAAACATTTGCAGTGCACGGTACAGTAGCGCAAATCCATGCCAAACTTCCCCCAATGTCCACAGGAACTTCTACTAACATCCTGCTCATCTGCGGCTTCACCGTGTTAACTCGATTAACTGCGTCCTGGCTACCGGTCGTCAGTGCACACAAACACAATGAACCCGGAGGCCATTCATAATGTTATGTTTGTGTGTAAACAAACCCCCCCCCTTGCTTTTTTGTCCAGCATTACCTCAGATGTGGGGCTGAAATGACCTGTATTCATCAGCACAGACAGCAGGCTGGAAAATAAGAGGTTTTCTGAATAATGTGTTACTGGTGTAAGAGGAACCCACAATCACTGATGGCATCACACAAATATGTAACACACACACACACAAACACACACACTTTTAGGCTTTATCTGGAGGACATTCCTCTGAAGCATGTGCAGCCTGGTTTCTTCACTATTAATAGTAGTTTCAGTTTTCTTCAGTTTGTTAGAGTAGATCAGGACAACAGTAGAAATAAAACAAAGATCAGATTGTGGACAAAAAGGTAGTAAAGAAAATGAGCTTACTGTTTGTCATTGTGGATGTCAGACGGCTGAGGAGTCTTGCTGTCTACCTTGGTAGCTGAGGGGTAACTGTGGCAGCCCCCCATGGTGTGGAGCTAAGAGCAGAGCTGTTTGCTGAGCCAGCCACACTTTTCCATCCCAAACACACTAACCCACAGACTTCTGCTCACTGTGGGCAGCATACGGGAAACCCAGCTCCAACACAAACATACCTCAGTAGTTAGCAAACAGGCTCATACAGTACAGCTCACACACAAACTTCTACAAATCCACTTTTCTTACAAGGTTTCAAAAATTATAGCTAAAAGTTAAGAAAAAAAAAAGCTTTCCAGTTGTCTCTTTTTTTCTCTCCACTGATCCAGTGTCAGTGTGTTTATGTCTCCTTTGTCTGGAGTCCCACACCCAACAGGCTCCTCCTTCTCCTCTTCTCTCTCTCTGTTGGAAGCAGACAGGCAGGTTTCTCTACAACCCATAAAAGCTTAAAAAAAACTCCGCCTTCCTCTCCTTCCTTCCCACCCACTCACTCACTCTCTTCACTGTGCAGAAAGAGGAGGAAGGTACAGATGACAGACTAAAGGTGCAAAAGTTTGCAAACTTTGGAAAACTGCTGAAGTAGAGATAAAAAAGAAGCTGTGAGCAGCTGAAGGTGTGTTCAGTGTGTTTGCTAGTTATGTAGGAATGCCATGACACACATATAAGCAGTGGAATGGAGACGCACACCCACGGGTGATATCTAGATAAGATTACAAGATGAAAATAGCAAATAGGAGATGTGCAGGAGCACAGAAAAGGAGTCTTGAACTCCTGATCTAAAGCATAGCGTAGAAAAATGAGAGGCAGCTTCTTTCTGAAGGTGATGTGAGGGTGTAACACAAATGTGGATGAAAGGCAACCCAATCCACCTGCCCCACAGGTAAACAAGAATATGAGGAGTCCTGTTCTCCATCTACCTGCTTTGTTTGCTCTGTGAATGAGTCTCAGGCCCAGAGTGGTTAGTGTGGGACAAACAGACACTCAGGTTTCTTCCTTTTTTTTTTGACATGTTTATTAGGTTCATATCTGAATGTACAGGCTAAAGAGACGACAGGTAACATACACATTACTCTCAAAGGAAAAAAAAAATCCCACCAGCATCAGTTCACTTAAACACCTCCCTCCACACACGCATACATTTACACACAAACGCGCTGCAAAAATAAGCTCGAGTGCAAAAAAACTTTAATGCCTTGCAAAAGTGTTCACATAGCTTGAACTTTTATGATGTTAGGTCCACAAATCTCCAGGTGGTTTATTTTGTTTACCTGCAATCGATCAACACAAAGTGTTTCAAAATGGTGAAAGGCGGGGAAAATATTGCATGGTATAAAATATGCGAAGCAAAACAGTCTACAGACCGTCGCACATTTTTTTTATTTTGCTGCCTTCACCATCTTTTCCAAAGTGCAAACAACGAGACGTTTGTTGACATGAAAACTCTTTATGCAATACACAGTGGCCTAAAGAAAGCCACCACTAAAACAAAAAAAAAGGCCATACAGGAAATGCTCTGCTCAGGCCAAACTGAAAGTGCGACAGAAAGCTAACACTGAAATACCTCACCATCTTAAACTATGGTGGTGGCAGTGTCATGCTGTGGTGATGCTTGTAATCAGTGGGGAGAGGGAAGCTGATGAGAGTAAATAAGATGAATGGATCTAACTGCAAAAACAGCTTTTTGTGAGAGCAGAAGTTTCTAGATTTAAGGGGGTTGTTCAGCCTCTAGTTGAATAAGAACTCTAGAATCCATAATCCAATGGATAATCTTTGGCTGAACTTGAAAATTGACTAAGCAACAAATGGAAGAAATTCAATGTAGATGTGGAAAAGCAAGAGGCCCACTCTAAAAGAGCGGCTGCTTCTGTAATGGCAGCAGGAGGGAGTTTCTGCGATGCAGCAACCTTAGGATGGGGCAAATATAAATTAACATTTCAGATTTGTTTTGTCATGAACTAAAAATAGTAAATGTACAATATTCGTCCTGCTTTAGAAGAATTTAACACGTTGTGTTGATCTTTCACAAAATACCAATGAAATGCATCAAGGTAAGTGAAAAAGATCAATGTGTATGAAAACTTTGCAAGGCACAGTTAATACTGGACATTAGATGGTTTAAAGAAACAAAACCCTGATGAGCAAACCTAATGGCACTTAAAAGTTAACCATATCGTCACCACATGCCTTTATGCAGAACACTGCAACATACCCGTTATACTCTAACAGAGACACAAACACTTTGGGTGGTGTAGAAGTCTGATTAAAGAATCAAAATATTCTGACCCTGTACACTTTTATTTCTATTTAACCCTGACTTCAAACTTCAAACTCAAACATCCTGGACAGATAAAAGCCAAAAGTGTAATCAAAGCCATTTCTTCCCATCTTTCTGACCCAGTCTGTCTTCTTTTACTGCTCTTAGATAGGATAAAGGCGTTAAAAACCTAAAACAGAAGGGGAGAATCAAAAAGATGCTGCGTTTCATACATCTAGATGTTAAAGACCATTGCAAAAAAGCAGGCAACTTCACAGATATGAGGCCCAGCTGTAACACTGGAGGGAAGACACACTTTGGCAGAAAGCACTGAAGAAAAACTACAGTATCTACATGATTAACTTTTTCTAGTCCAACTTTCCCTGCCTCTTTGAGTAGAGAGCGACGAGGTGGCACAAAAAAAAAATAAAAAATAGGACACAATCCTTTTTTCTAAATTCTTTCTTTTAATAAATACAACAATCTGTGCATCACTCAGGAGACATTTATGTAATTTAAGTCAACCCTTGCCCTGAGAAAGAGTAAAAATTAGAGGAAACTGAAGATGGCCAGTCTAACAGATTATTCTGGTTTAAAACAACTCGCATCCAAAGTTTTTTAGTTCTTGTTATGATCCATACTGGTTAGGATTAACTACTGAAGTACACAAAGAATGCCCTGACCTCCCAGAGCAGCCTTGAGGAAAATGCTGATATTTTATGTCCTCCATAGTGCAATAAATCATAAATCTGTCTGACTAACTGGACTCTGCATTATATCTGAAAAAAACTGGACCTTTTTCCTTCCAAAATAAAATCTGTGCAGTAAATCTGTGCAAAAGAACCAAACATGGAGCCTTTGGACATTTGTATCCATGAATATCTGATTTCTGTTAGATTATGTCCACAGAAACTGCAGAAAAGTTTAAGCCTTGGGAGCATCATTTAACTCTAACATTTAGCTCTAGCTCATCTCAGAAGACCCAACCTAAATATTCTATCTGCAATAAAACATTTAGGTTGGGAAATTGATGGCATTCTTTATCAGTTTTGCAGGATATCTTTATGTTTCATTTTGGTTAATTTCCAATCCCCATTTTACTTGGCAAACATTTTTTCCATCCCTGCAAACAGATTATGTATTATACCAAAAAAGTTCAACACATTTTCTGTTTTTGCCATTTTTTTTAGAAGAAATATGAAGATAAGTATTCCAAAAATGCCCAATAGTTCCATTTAACTGTAAAATTTTTGAACACTTTATATTCAAATTTATTGTTAAATAAGGTAGAAGGTGACAAAACCGTGAAGCAAAATAAAACAAAATTAGAAAGGATATCATATTCATCCTTCTTTCACCTTAAACCATGAATATAATACAGAAAAAATATTTCAATCCTCAATAAATTAAGCTGGAATGAAACCTTTCCCTATAGGTAGCAACTGTCTAGCCACAGAAGGCAATATTTCAAAACAAATTTGGTATAAAATGGCTAAACAGAGTCTGACAGTTGGTCAGGCAGTACTGTATAACTCCCTGCTTGCAATCAGAATTCATCTTTTAAGGTAAAACAGCTTGAGTTGCAGTGAACCAGAATCATCTTATATAAGAGACTCTTATTTGCGGAAGACATCCTCCAGTCTACTGACATGCATTCACATCATGCTCCGTCCTATACTTCCATATAGGAAGCAAGTAGCAAAGAAACAGGAACTGATGCTGGCCCGTTAATGGAATAAACAGACGCTATTATTGCCTTTCAACAGAACACGCATACATAAATACACTCGCGCACACCGCATCCTGCAAAACGAGCTCATTTCAACAAATCGGATTTATTCCAAAAATAGATATAATAATGTTTATATATAATGTTTACATTGATGTTACGTTTACATATTACCAAGAATAGCCACAACCTAATACAGGTTCAAAAATTCACAATATTACACGGAAACACCTCTGAGGGGCGGTATGAACGGGTATGTGCACATCATCACCATGTGTTCTTTTCCTGTTTTGCTTTCCATTTAATATTTTTTTTGTGCATGTGTTTGTGGATATGGTGGTTTTATACATGTGTGTATGGAACTGTGTGTAAGTGTGTGTCACACAGGTGTGCTTTCTTTGTATCTTCATACCTCTCCTTAAACCTGAGAATAACACTCTGCAACGCAGACAGAGCTCGACACACAGAAACACATGTCTACAAACACATGTATGTGAAGCGCGCACACGCACAGCCACACACACAGACACACATTTCTACATATTAACTTTCAGAAGTGAAACACGGTTCTCTCAAAATCAAATAGTCTAAGTGCAAACATTTCTTTCCCAGTGATTACAGCAAATGAAAACAGACTGAGAATAATTAAAGCAGCAAAAACAAATTATTATCGCTTACATTTCTTAGAATAAAATGTCTGCGCATGGTTGGCTAACGTCAGTGGTGATGAAAATGGCAACTAGCCAAGCATCCTGGCTGAATATTACAATGCAGCTCTCATTACTAAAGTGTAAACAGTCACATCCTGTGCTAGATTAAAAAAAAAAATAGACAGACCCAATTAATCTGAGATCCTGAAATTAAAACAAGTTAAATTGGGCTGTCTGGCACAATGAAATGCTCTACAAAACCATTTTCGCCTTGGCGCACCTCAGTTGTAATCATGTCATGGAGGCGCGGAAGAGACGTTGATTTCTATTCGTGTGGATACCTGCTTTCCAGCATTAAAGCTGCTCGACCCCAGAACAGAGGATCTTTATTCACTTACATGTCTTCAGACACAACAAACGGGCATTGGGGTGCTGCTAACTGGAAGCAAAGAAGGGGGGGGGGGGGGGGGGTATGGCTGCAAGTTGAACAAAAAGGTGGAAAGATGGACTTAGCCGCCATGTTAGGCAGGTCCGTTAGCAGGAGACTGCATCTCTCTGTAACACAAAAGAAGAAAAACAAACCAACAGGAATTTAAGTCTGTTTTAATGATTTACTGATACCACTTGTTATCAACCAAATGGAGTAAAGGGGATCTAAATGATTAAAAACGAAAATATTTAAATAAAATGGAAATTAGCATCAAATTAAAAAAAAAATAATAATAAACACGGCAATGATCTTTATCTATGGAGGATTTTCTTTTATTGAAAATTGAAGCTAAATTCTGTTTTTAAAAAATGTATTTTAAATAAGTCAGAGAAGCAAGCTAAGCATCCAACACTGGGATACAAGCAGGAGGCCTAAATACACACCCACCAATGATCTGGGATTTAGCGACTGAGGTCCTTAATCTGAATGGACACTGAGAAGCCAAGCTTCTGATGACAACATCATCACCATCAGTCTTTAAAAAGACACCAACAGGCGAGGGAAGTCAATGACTACAGCAACAATGGACATTAAACTGCTTTACACAATAATTAGGAATCTGCTCTATAAGCATTTTTTTTTTTTTTTTTTTTTACAAAAAAAGAATCAATAGTGTGCTCTTTTTAATATTTTATCAAAGAGCTCACCTAACCCTAACCTCAGCTGGGATGAATCAACGAGTTAATGTCTGTTTCAGAGGCAGGGACAATCGTCTAAGGGGGATAATGGCAGAAATCTGTCACCAAATAGACACCAAAGGGTTTAAAGTTAATTTCACAAATTCAATACGAAAAAATAAGCTAAAATAAAAAAATAATAATAATAAAAATAATAATACTACAAATAAATGTTTTCTGGAAAGTTTTGGAATAATGTTATTTTGTAAACACAAATGATGTGCTGCATAGAAATAATAACAGTTATTCAGTTTTATTTAGTTCAGAAGAGTAGATCGTTTCCATGGAAACTTAAATACATTTAAATCATAAATTTACATCATACCCTTTAAAACATCGATGTTAATAAGATTTCCAAATGAAACATTTTTAAAATATACCTTGCATAATGATAACATCCCAAGTTCACCTTTTACCTTTGGACAAAATGCAAGTAAGAAATGTGGCCAGACTGAAGTGATTAAATAACTGGCAATCATCCATCCATTGAGAAAAACAACTACAGATTCTGGAAATATGCTTCACTGCTGCTTCTGAATCACTGAGCTCAAAGAGGTTAGAGCAGACAGACGCTTGTCTGGTTTCACAACATGACAGAATCTGGTTAAAACAGAGCGGACAGCAGCTAACATGTCCACAGACCAGGGGTTTTCAAAGTGGGTGCCGCGGCACCTAGGGGTACCACGGGGTCACTACAGGGGTGCTGCAGGATTTTTTCATAGATTGATGAGAGTTTTATATTGAATGTACTTTTTTACATTTTAACAATTTTGTACATTAATTTTGATGTAAGCAAATATATTCTAAGACGAGGGGCTTCATTTTATGTTTTCTTTACTACCGTATTTTCACGACCATAAGGCGCACCGTACTAAAAGGCGCACTCTCAGTTATGTGTCCCATTTCTGTATTTAACACACACATAAGGCGCACCGGACTATAGGGCGCGTTTTTTATATACAGGTCCTCTACTACCTTTAAATACCTCTACTGCGTATTTAAAAATACAGCGGTGGCAAAACTGAGTATGACTGTGCTTTATTCATGTATTTATTACAAAGTATTAATCAAACCTGGCAGCTGGCCGTGAGACAGACACATCGCAGATGACACAGCGCTGTGGTCACTCCTAAATTAACTTAAAATCCTGAAACCTGCCGACAGAATATGTTCGCTTTTATTACCGGCATCCTGGTGCCTGCAGTTTAAATTATTTAGATGAAAAACACCTGCCAGCAGCCGCGGTGAGGCTGCTGTTGAAGGGATTTCTGCTGTCGGTGCACCGCTGGTATGTGGGGGTCTGAGCGCCTCCGACAGAAATAGATAATCTGGATGAACTGACTGCAATTATTAAGTTTTCAGGTGGACTTTCTCACTTAAAAACATATTAAAACTACTTTATTCCCACTGATCACAGCAAATATAGCTGCAAGATTAAGATTATTTAGATGAAAAAACACCTGCCAGCCACCGCGGTGAAGAGGAGGAGACGCGCCCAGAGGCTGCTGTTGAATTAAGTTTTCAGGTAGAAAAATAGAGCGGGAGCAAAACTGAGTATGATTGTGCTTTATTCATGTAGGCTATTTATTACAAAGTATTAATCAAACCCATCAAAGTCATCATCCTCTGTTTCTGAATTAAACAGCTGCGCTAAATCAGACATGCCAATTTCCCCTTCTGCGCTGTCAGAGTCACTTTCCGTGCAGCGCAGCTCCTCAGAAATAATGCCGGCTTTTGCAAAAGCTTGAACAACAGAGCCAGCAGACACGTTAGTCCATCTACAATCCATCCGCAAACGGTGGCGTGACTTGCCCGGCGCTGCCTTCCACTTATCCTGAAACTGTGGTCTCTGTCGGCCATCCATCGCTCCCACGCCGCTCGCAGCCTTACTTTGAACAGGCGCTTCACACCGATGTTGGGCGGTTGAAGTTCCTTTGTCAGACCCCCGGGATAACGGCGAGCACAGCGTTCATTGATTCACATTTCTTTTCACATCGGCTGTGAGATGGGCACGCAGCGATGGTGATGCGTGGAAAAAAAACACCTGGTCTCCTCACATAGGCTACACCTCCCTCAGCCACGCTTTCATCATCTCCTCATCTATCCAGCCTTTTTCATTTAATATCATATGTCATCAGAGCGCTGTGTCTGTCTCGCTATCAGCTCCCAGATCAGCTTCTCTGATTGGTTGATGTGGTGAGTCCAGCAGCAAAACTTCAATTTTTCCATCTCGAGCAGCAGCAGCGCGTTGGCGGTGCGTCAGATGCTTAAACGATCCCGACGTGCTGCACCTGCGGCTCAAAACGCGCTGCAGGACCTTTTGCTGCACCTATACGCGCGTCAACCATTGACTTTGCATGTAAACTCGCTGCTTCTGCTGCACCTGCTGGGTCCGGTTCACACCGATGTTGAGCGGTTGAACAGCGAGCACAGGGTTAATTTGTTTCCCCATGTTTTTCACATCAGCTGTGAGATGGGCACGCATGGAGTCACAGATTAATGGTGATGAGTGGAAAAAAAACACCTGGTCTCCTTACATTCAGCCACTCTTTCATCATCTCCTCAATGAGGTGGTCTCAAAAGTCGCAGTTACAACACACATAGGGCGCACCGCACCATAGGGCGCACCGCACATTTTGAGGGGAAAAAAAGACGTTTAAGTGCGCCTTATAGTCGTGAAAATACGGTACTTTGAAAAAATGACAGAAAAATAATTATTATCAAATAATGTGAAATAATCATTATCAGTTTAGGGGTACCACGGCTGGGTGGAAAAATCTGTAGGGGTACCTTGACCCAAAAAAGTTTGGGGACCACTGCCACAGACTCTAAGCCCAGATGCTGTTTATACAGGAAGACTCGCTTCCAAAGAAAGTTCATTAAGCATGTAGACTATCTTTATTCCAGCAGCTCACTTAGCTTAGAACAAAGAGATTAGGACTATAAATAGATCTAGATTCTTTTCAATAGATCCTTTTTTCATTATTACCAAGTCAACTTCTTTGATTTCTACTATTCTGAAGTTCTGTCTAGGACATTAAGTTAAGAAATTAGATTACCTGATTACCTCATGCTGACTAAAATTCCTTCACATCAAGATAAGACTGTACTACATACAGATAGTTAGTCTTATCCTTTTCCATCTACAATCCGCAGACCACAACAGCATTTAAACGGCAAATACTCACTGTGGGACAGCAGCTGTCTGGTTGGTTGGACCTGCCCCGACTGTGCTGGAACCGTTTCCATGTTTCTTCTCATTTTCTTTTTCTCCATCTTTCTCCTTTGCCTTGATTGAGAGTCCATCTATGGGTACCTTATCTGCTTCGCTGAAAATTAACCACAAAATTATCACTGTATAAGTTAAATAAATCAGATAAAGATTGGAGCACTGTTGTAGATACGTAGAAACCAGACACTACTTCTCACTTTGTCTTGTAACTTCAGTATTCATACCTACTGAAATTTTGTTTCATAATTGAAAACCACATGTTATTGAGATATGACTAATAGACACAAAAAAAGCAGAACAGAGTTGCTTCATGGAAGAAAATTTATACAAATGTTTTTTTTCAGTAAATATCTAAAATAGTTATGTGCATTTGTATTTAGCAGTCTTGAATCAATACTTTGTAGAAGGAGCTTTCCAAGCAGTTCCAATAGGGAGACTTTCAGGCTGGGGCCAGACCAGCTTTACATGCAGAGACCCAAATGATGCTCAAGTTTAACAAGAATGGATTAAGAAAATACATTTTTAAATCTTGCAAAAATTCCTAACTTGGTTTGGGTTGACACCTTGACTAAACCAGGGTGGCCAACCAGTTCAGCACCAGGAGCACATTTTTACTAACTTTAATGTCTTAAGACACAAATATAAACATTTTTATATTTTCAAATGAGTTCATCTCCTTTCTTAACTGATTTTTTAACATAAAAAAACAGCCTAAGCCTGTCAGCATCCTCACAGAGGGCAGAGCCCCGTTGTCGTCTTCGGACCAAGCTGCAACAGATAATCCATTCAGATTAAAATTTTCTGTGCTGCATTTCATATCTTCTTGTAGCTTTACCTTCCCTGACTTATTGACCACCAGAGTCAATAAGTTAGGGTATATATTTCTATTATATTTTTACTGCATTGTAATTTTTACTTTATTCAAATTAGATAATACTTTGGTAACACTGTTTAGGAATACAATTTCTGGCTGTTCACCTCTAATTACTTCATTATAAATGATGAACAATATTATATATATTAAAAGATCCAGATTGTATCTAAGCAAGCCTCATGGTGAAGATGCTTGTGAAATCCATGTGAAAGTGCAGTAAAGAGTGAACTCTGTTACTACATTTCTTGGTTCAAGGTTTTTATGCTTTAGAAACTCCAACTTCACTTAAACTTAATGGTGTCTTAACCTCACAATCTTTTTAAATGGATATGTAGATTATCTGCAGACAAGAAGCTCAGGTTATAAATTTTGTTTCCTTTTTCCTTTCAATAAGCAAACAGGACTCGTGTCATGAAGTGATAAGACATTCTGATTTATCTATGTTAGTAGTAATTCAGTTGAAATAACTGCAAAAAAGCGGAATAAACTGCTGTCTTTGCTTGAAAGAAGCAAAGCGGAGGAGAGTAAAAGATTTTTCAACATAAAGTACACCATAAACTGATTAAAATGAAAACCTTGACATATTAATCCTGTTGAGTGAGCCACACAAAACAAAACTGAGAGAAGAGCTGCCTTCGGTCCAAGAGCCCCACATTTTCCACCCCTGAACTGGACTGTTCTTACATCAATATGCTTTGATCCAAATCCTTCTACTAAAGCTCCATCTCTGTGTCAGCATCTTTCTGAAGTGTTCCCTGGTCTTCTCTAATGCTGTTTGCTCACATATAAACAACATCAGAGCAGAATTATTCTGGGGTTGGTATATCAGATTTTATTTAGGGGTGTCTGTAAATAAAAAGGACTACAAATGGAAAGTAAGTTCTACGTCAAAATTCTTACTTAGTGTGGGTTTATCACATGGAATATATCAAAGTTTGTGGTTGTAACCTGACAAAATTTTTGCTGAGTTCGAATACAGCGGCTGCGTCTTGGGAAGGCCAGATTAGTCGGCTGATTACATCATAGCGCGGCGCCGAAGCCTGTTCAGATTTGAAGACACCTCGTTATGCAGCAGACGGACACATCCTTGTTTTTGCCCGTGTTAAAGGACTTGTCCAGTGTATCCTATCTAGCCATATATATCCCATATTCCATTGCAAGTCCAAGCAAGCCAGCTGCTCCATGCCTGTGCAAATGGGTTTGGTTGACATTTAAGCACAGATTTCAACACCTGTGCAGTGTAGAGACTGTAAATATATTTGTGACGACGGTACTGCTGCTGAAACTACTCGAAAATGTTATTAGCATCCTGAACAGTAGCGAGAAGTTTGGTATCCATTTTTTGCCTGCTTTGTGTGTCAACTGTAATGGTTGCAATGCAACAGATCGTACGTGCGGTGAAAGACAAAGAAGGCAGGACCTGTTTGAATCCATAGCCAAACTCTTCTGGGCTCCTTATTTTCACAGACCTCGAAGGACCCAGTCAAGGTAGACTGCGTCCTAGGAGGACACAACCGCTGAAACCAACACATCTCAGTTATTTCAGCAGAAACAAACAGGCTCACAAAGATCAGCTGAGTGTCACCTAGAGTCATAGCATCTTATTTGTATGAGCGCTATTAAAAATAACTTAGCAGCTGCAAGTCGGTTTTATTTAATATAAAACAAAATCAGCTGATCTGCTGCACAATCTACTCTTCAATCCCTATAAAATCAAATGAATAATTAAGTTATCGTTCATTCAAGAGTTGTTATTAGATTATTATGTTAATCAAATGTCAGTGTCCTTTCAAAAAGAAGTTCAGTAAAGAGTCTTCTTTCCTCTCATCATAGAATATGGGGCATAAAGAAGACAATGTGGAAGCTCAAATTATTTTTCAGTCTTTGTAGTATAGACTTCAAAGTATAACAATGAAACTCACAGCGGTTTGTGACGCCCCTGCCACACATCCAACATTCAAGCAGCCTAAGACGCACCTGATCACAGAGCAGCTCGAAGCTCCTTTCAAATCCTTTTCTTTCCTCACTCTGATCAGACAGCTCTGCTCTGATTGGCTCAGACAGGAAAGGTTAACTTTTGATTCAGAAAATTACTTTCCTTTTTATAGTGCAGGCACAGCATCATCCTAAGCCTATGAAGAGTTGTTAAGTTTTGTTGCTTTGTTCATTATTTAGAATGATTATAAACCATGATTATAAACCATTAAAGACAGCCAATATGATAACATTACATTTATCAGGCTACTTATTTATTAGCAGCTTGCCACTATAATGGCTACCATTAGAATGTCTAGACTGACATATGATGTGATGTAAGCCAACACCTAATTTTTTTTTTTTACCGTTTTATTGTAATGGTCCTCTTTTCATATAATTTCATATGCACAGTGTACATTTTTATTCATTTTTAATTTAGTAGGTAAGAAACTGAACTGCTTTCAGTCTTTTCTACATTATTTTAGGAAATTAAGTTAGAAAAAAAATTTGTTCCTTGTATTTTTATTGTTGTTTCAAACAGAAAAAGAAATTAATGAAAGTTATAGGGATTACTTAATATGGTTTGTTTCTTCAATTCAAAGTAGCATCTAATGAACTGTAGCATGCTGTTCAATGCACTATTAGTCATTTCCTAATGAACCAGTCTGTTAGAATGTTAATCAACTAAAATGGAGGAAATATTAGATTAGCATGCTACCTGACAGACTGTTAGTAGTTTGCAGAGCTATATAATAACACAACTATCAAATTATATGATCTCCAATCGCAGTAAGCTTCTGTCATATCCCAATGAAATCCCCAAATAATAAAAGTCCTGAGTAGCAAGTGGTAGGTTAGTTTCTTCATCTGAACTGAAATTAGAAAGAATAATGGCAAAATGGAAATATTATTCCACATCCTGTGAAATGAAACGAGCAAACAAGAGCAGTTAAAATCGATCAGGACGACATTCCTCAAGTCGCACAGGCAACCTAGAGTACGACATACCGTTTGTACGCAGGTCGGAAAATTCTGGAATGAAGGGGACACAGGAAAAGGAGGAAACACAAGGTTGGGGCATGATTATAGGGTTAGGATAGAGGATGAAGAGGCAGAATAGTGAAGAAATAAGTTTTAGAAAAGGACAGAAGGGCCCTAAAAGGATGGGCAGTAAGACAAGGTGGACACACAAACGGACAGCTGCTTCTTCTTAGTGAACTAGAATGAGTACCTTGTGAAGACTGCCCTCTCATTTTTGGCATCTACAGTCAGCCGGATAGTCTCCTTCCCTGAACCTGTGGTAATGGTCTCTGTTGTGACGGTCTCACTGGAAGTGGACTCTGTCTTTCCTTCTTCTTCATCACTGTCTGAGCTGTTGGAGGAGGAACTATCCGATGCCACAAGTGGAGCTTTTCTTGCCACACAAGCGCTCCAAACACAAGCTTGGAAGGAAAGATAAGGTAAAATAAAATTAAAAAAGGTCTTCAACAAAGATAATTTCAAACAAAAAAGCCCTTCAAATAAACAATAAAGCAATATCAGCTACCCTAACTTTCTCCAAAGTTAAAAGATATATTTTCTTTCTAACCAGTTAGCAACTTAGTGCTAGTAGGTTTCCAATGGGATATTACATTTGGACCAAGTAGCACTTAATTGGTGACTTAAAAAAATGACACTGTCAAGGAACGCTATGGACAGCAGAAACATGAAAGAGGAGAGTTATGTGTCGGAGGTCATGGATGAGTCTCCTTCGTCATACAGTTTTTATTTAGAGGAAAGTGGGGATGAAGATGTTTCGAAGAGGTCGCCAGGGCAGCAGAAGCTTTGTTTGGTGTAGAAGGCTTACAGCCGTAAATGTCTGAGCCCTTGCCTCGCAACGCTGCCAGTTCTGTTAGCTCTACGCCTGCTGAAGACACGGACGTCCATCCCCGTGAACACTGGGACATAACTTAATGGGAAAGTAAATGATTCTTATTTCTTATTTCAACTGTTGCGTATATTAGCTGCATATGAATCAAGATGCTATGACAGAAGAAATGTGATTAACAGATGACCATTGATATATGATGGGCCGAACTTAGGTGTACAGGCTGACGTATAAGAAACTGGCCTGAATAAGATAACAAAACAAAAAAAACAAACAAAAAAAACATATTTTAAGACAGCATTTTTTTTTTATAGAAATTTTCTAAATTTTGGGACAATATGGTCTGATAAAGAGTACATTTATATACATGTTTAAGCCAGAATGATTTGACATTTAAATATGATTTCCCTATGACTTTTAAGTTAATTCTACAGGCTGCAATATCCTTGCAGGTGAACCTCTTTTGAGGTTCTAAATTTAGGATTATGGTCTCTAGAATAATGTTGCTAGGATGCTGCTCCTGTCTCCAACTGTAGAGCTACAAAAGGTTGTTTGAGGATGCAACAATCAGTAAAGGGTTGATTAAGTTTCTTAGGGGTAACATTTGGGCATTGATGAAGCTGGCTGCTTGTGTTGCTAGCTCTTCTACATCTACAGTTGGCTGTAATGTTGGAACCAGTATGTTCATTACCACATGCAGAGTTGTAAAAAAAAGTGCTGCACATGCCAGGTATTTTTCAGGGCAAACATAATAATAAACTTACGGTTTGGGTTTTGTTTGGTGCCGTCGGATCCACTGAGCTCTGAATCCACAGGAGAGCTGCATCTGGGGCCCGTTTCAGAACTGCAGGACATCATATGAAATATGAAAACCTAACTTATATATATGATTACTAAAATAAAGAATAAATATGCTTCCCTTACAACGCCATTGTAGTGCTTTTTTTGTATACGTCACTTTGATTTTTAGCAGTGTACAAACTCCTAAAAAAACTGCCCTATTTCAACATGTTTTTGTGGCATTTCTGACAGTACATTAATTATCAACTAAAAGTCCAAAACAGCTAACCACTACTTTAACAAAATGATTTACGATATCCCAAAAGCAAAAACAAATCCTTTTTTAAATACTTAAACTATATTTCATGGGAGCCCAAACTCACCAACAGAAAGGCTGAAAATCTGTGAACTTGGCCCACCCTTTCTCCTCTGCCTCTGACGCAGCTGGCTGGGAGACCGGAGTGTCCCAGGGAGAAAATGCTGCTCCGGCCGCAGGAGCTGTTGAGTTCACCTCTCCAAAGTCTGCAACCCAGCTAGAAGCTTAGGACAAGAACATCAAACAAATCCTGAGTAAAACTAGGACACATATCCTAGAATAAATGCTTAACATACACATGTTAAAACATGCACCCTTGTCTTACTCGGAGGTGCGTCTGTCTGCCCCTGACTTGAAAACGGATCAAAGTCATCTTTATTATCTTCCTCCTCAGAATCACAGTCTGCAGGTCCGTCAGGAACCTCAGTGCTGGAAGCTGTCCTTTTCTCACATGTCTGACTGGTTACTTGGCTTTGGGAGGAAGTTGAGCCGCCGAACCTCATAAAAAAACAACAAAAAAAACATGCATTTAATGTATTTTTACATGGGAGAGACATGCGGCAAAGGAAATTTATATTTTTTTTAAACAAAGTGGAGTGTGTATGACGTCATCTGCGCGCGCCGGCTACCATTCATTCTAAAATATAAATATAAAATTTATAACCGCGGATGTCTGGGGGACAGTGATTCGCCTACATGTTATGAATGCTGGCATACCATAAAGAATACATTATGAACTGTTTAGTTTGTGCCTTCAAGTTGTTGCCCATAGGAAGACGTTACTTGGATATAACCGAACGGAATATCTTCAGAACAGCTCCAAATGACACAAAACTCATATGGGTGAGTAGAACATGATGTAATAACGTAAAATCAAGGGCCCAATGTAAAAAAAAAAAACAAAAAAAAAAAACGGCGCTCCCCTTTAAGTGCATTTTGAGGCCACTTTTTTTTCTTTACTTTTTCTTTCTTCCCTTGTGGTTCACTAAAGAGCCTACAAATCATTATCTCAGAGAGGAAAACACAATGGTGTGTGAATCAAATGCGTTATTTTAAGATAAAACATTTCAGTTATTTATTTTAGACCAAATAATATTTTACTATTACACTCCCGAAGCGGGAGAACGGGTTTGGGACGGGGAGGCACCCCATGGCATCACCTGCTGCTGGAGGACATGAGTAGGAACGATACATGCTTTCACCTAAGTGTCTCCAAAAGCCGCCAGTGACACCAGAAAAGTCGCTAGATTTGTCTCTAGTCATTTCTCTGAAAAAGAGTCGCTGGAGGGGTCTGAAAAGTCGCTAAAATTAGCGACAAAGTTGCTGAGTTGGCAACACTGCGTGACGGGAAGCCCGGGTGGCATTTTTATAAAGGAGGGCAGGATGCGTGCTTGGAAAAAAATATAACTGCCTCTTGGAGTGGGTCTCGCCCGGGGAGTACAACCGCCACTGACCATCTATGAGCGTGGTGCGCAGTCTTCCGGTCGCTTGGTTACGGCCATAAACAATTTGAGTCTCTATGGAGCTGGCTTACGGGTGGTATGAAAGTACAGCTGTGGAATTAGGGCTGGGCGATATAGAAAAAAAGCTTATCGATAAAAAAAAATGCATATTGATCGATATCGATAATTATTGAAAAGATTTGAAACCATATTTTATGTGCAGCTCTGCCTGGACATTTTATGATATTGCTAAATGATTTAATTATTAACAAAGACTTCCAATTAAATATTTATTTAATCAACTTTTTTAACCATAACAGAATTGTTTTAAAGAAAAATAACTTAAAAGACCTGAGTTATGTTATTAAATACTGACAAAGAATAAACTAAAGTGACCAGAAAAGTGACCAAAATAAATATAACAAATAAATAAATCGACGCATAAACCTACATGATAGGCTACAATGAGAAGGAAGGAAAACTGCGTTTTTTTTATCGACCCGCTTTTTTTTATTGCGCCACACGTCTATCGATCAATATATATCGTTATTGAATTATCGCCCAGCCCTATGTGGAATGGTCTGATAAACTGACAGATCTTTTTGTTGTTGTTGTTTTCTCTCTGTGTGTGTCTATATAAGACCGTGGCGGCCCAAATGAGACTGTGGCGGTCTCATTCATTAATGGGAAACACTGCTAGCACAAATATTGGAGAGTGGGTTGAACATTGCTCTGTTGGTTTTGGAAATCTCTTTCTAACCGACCTCATCTGTTTCCTAGTCTACATATGCAGCCTGCTCCCAGCTGTTTCCTAACAGACTTTTGATGGCTTCCCAGAACAGCCGGATTTACGGAGATCTGTCAACCCTAGCTACTAATTAGGGGACATCTGAATCTAAATGGCTCCTAGAAATGTTTTTTTAGATATCCAAGAATCAAAGTTGATGATTGCATTTTGCATTTTCTTTTATAAAAAAAACTTTGAAACTTTTCTTATTCCGGTCAACAATTATACATTACTTGCTCATCTATTACAGAATAGACATTTGTAACTGTAACATGGCAAAAAGGGCACAAACATTAAGAGAATTTACCCTTCTAACAAAGGACCATGTATATATTAAGCAAAAAACTTTACTTATTAGAGGATTTTGTCAACCTGTTTCTGGACTTTGTTTGAGTTGCATAGTTGATTTCATTTTCCTCCCATATGTCTTCTTCATCATCATCAAAGGGCTGAATCCTTTCCTTAGAACAGGCCTCAAAAACAGCTGTGTCAGCCTGCGTATAAGGAGGATCATTTTAATTATAGTCTTGGTTTAGTTAGTATCCTTTTATATCAAGATTTTAAAAAACTCACGCATACAAAATGAGTTGTCGTTTTGAAAGAAGAAGAAAAACAGCCCTAAAAATAGGCACATTGATAAACTCACAGTGTCATGGCCAGCATCAATGTTGATGTTGATCTCTGCAATCCGGTCAAATGTTGCACTGTAAGAGAACAAGCATTCCGCACTCAGCACAGAAAATGGTGATCCAATCCGAACAAATGAAAGTCTGTTAATTTACCCAATGCTGTCATCATGGTCCGTAAACTCGTCATCATTAAAGCCAAACTGATCAACAAAGTTAGCTGTCATCTGCTGGATCTGATAGTCCGAAAAAGCCTTAAACACATAAGCGCAACAGTTAGAAAACAATGGCAGATGAAAAAAACTTACCATATTTGGCCAGCTTATTTGTTCATACCTGCTGCATTGTCAGCTCTTTAGGGAAGGGGCTCTCCATGTCATCCTCTGAAGAAGATCGAGGGTTTCCACTTCCAACCTAAAGAAATCAATATTACCGAATTTACCACCTGCATTTAGATTTGTGTTTCAATAAAAATGAAATGCCATACATGTAGTCACTGGCTGTTTCTCAATTCACAAGAACGCAAGTACGGACTCGTGTTTTTGCAAAGTATGTTCTTGAGAAGAACACAGGAAAGTATGGACTCGGGGAGCACGGGAGCACACAGCATAAATATGGGTCAATTGGAACAGAAGCGTACTCGGGATGTCACCACATGCTTGGCTCACTAGAGCTGCATTTCATTTCCTGTTATTATTAGTCTCTAGATAATAAATTACAATTTTTTTCATTATTAGGGGAATAATAATTAACACAGTCAGATAAACACAAATCAAATGAACATTTTGCCAAATTAAAAAAATTCACAAACGGCTATGCCAAGAGAGGGCTGCTGCAGACGGGCTAAATGGTAAATGATAAATGGGCTATATAGTGACACTTAAAAGCATGTTCTCGCCTCAAATGATCTTAAAATGTACTTTTATAGAACAACGGCAACATAAAAGAGAAATTTTAACTTAATACTTTGAGCGCTGTTAGCGCTCCATTGGAAGCTGCTGCTGCTGCGGTGCATGCTGGGACAGCTGTCAATCTCAATAATGGACGAGTCTGCTCCGATACATGCTCGGTAAAGAGGGCAGGGTGGGAACAACATTCGGGGGCTTTGTCCGTCCTCGGGCTTGTGTTCTTGTGAATTGAAAGAGTATTAGGGCTGAGGTGGATGATGTTTCATGAGTACACGAGCATATGAGAACCCACAACATTGAGAAACGGTCAGTGTGTCCGGGATTACCAGGTCTATGGTGTTTTTCCTATTGGTATCTGATAGTGTCTGTTCAACAAAGGTTTCCCAGCGCCCCCTGTAGTCACCTGGCAGCTCTGCAACCAAAAGAGCAAATCATTTTTACATTTCTGAGTCAGCTATCATAACTTTTCTGTATTGTCTCCTTGCTTTTCTCTCAAACGTACCTAAGATGAGGTTACCGATCTGAGTGTGAACTGGGCCTTTATCCAGGTTGTGCACCACAGTGTTGGCAATCCTGGTCAAATGTCCCATGTACCCTCTTCTCATGCCACCCTCCGACCTGACAAACACATAACACCTTTAAAATCTGGCCTGATGCTCATGACACAAAACATTACCTTATGATCCCAGAGGTCCTTACTGTATTTTATCATTCTCTTCCCAAGCCTCCAGAATCCTCTGGACAAGGTGGCAGTGTTGGAACAACTTTAAAGAGAAAGAATCATTTAATTAATGCAAATCAAAAGGTCAGGTCATTTGAGTCGACGTAATGATGTCTGAAAGCTAAAAATAAGCTTACATGAGTCACCATTAAGTTGTGGGCAGAGTTTTCAGAGGTGACTAAAGGGTCAGAGTTTGGGGCCTCGCTTGTATCCTGCTCTTGGGGTGTGTCTTGAGAGGGCTTGGATTTATCCTGGGAGCCAAATCCAGGCTGCGGTCTCATTTCATGAGCACATGGCCGGACGATAGCAGCAACACAAAGCTCCACTTGGAGGTGCAGGAAGTTGTTCCAGGTGTACTTAAAGAACAAGTCCTGAAAAAGGAGGACATTTTATTCATCATAAAAACACTTGTCTTTAACTGTGCTGTTAAAATCAGAATCAAATTACAATGCATGTACATGTGACTACATAACTGGACTGGAATGATGTGGTTTCTACATACAGTATTGCTTCAGTTTGAAGCCAAGGTCACACCGGTTGAGTCTGACTTTTTAATCTCTGCTGCCATTATATTCCATGTACCCCGACTATAGAGTTTATAGAGAGGCTCCTTCTATGCAGGGTGAGCAGATCCAGATCTGTGCAGATTTTTGTTCTGCTTCATAAAATTTAAACAATAATGTCCGTCATTAGACTGGGTCAGATAATTAAAAGTTTGAAAAAAATGTAAAAGAGAAGTAAAGCAAAACCTGTGAAGTGGGGGGAGATAGAATTTTTATGTATACAAAATGTAATGGGAATTAAAGGAAAACTGAGTAACAGAGGTTGTGGAAGTATTTATACATTTGATTTTATCAAGCAGCCTGTGAAGTTTGTGGAAGTTTATTTTTTTTTATAAAAGAAGAGAGTGACAAGCTGGGCTTTCCTGTAGCCTTCTGACCCTCGTTGTTTTGTTTTTTGGAGGTTTAAAGAGGATCACCATTTTATTTATACGTTTTCTGTCCTTTTGAACTACTACTATGGGTAAGGTAATATTGTCCTATTGATTTTGTCGCCTATATCCAAGTCTTCCCCTTCTGACCTCTGTGTGATTCCAGACAGGGCAAACCTACTGATTATTTTGCATTCCCCCCCAAAGTGGATGCATTTTACTTTACAACCAAGTAAAACATACCTGGGGGTCTATCTCAGTCAGAGCTATAAAAGATCATCATATTAAACATTTTATGAAATACTAATGAATTCATTTGATATCTCATGGGTAATCTCTAGAAAAAGGGAAATTGTAAAAATGCAACAAATATGTGTCTCACCAATAGAAGGTCCATAGTATTAAGCCTGCAGAGCTCCTGTGCCACGACTGCATGGCCGGCAGAGCTGGTGTAAAGCAGAGAGGCCACGAGTCTGGCCACATGCAGACGTGTGTTCCCCAGTGGTTCCTCCAGCACACCAAGAGTAGTCAGCATGGGATCTTGCTATATTATACACAGATAAACAGAAGAAAATTAAAGATCTTATATTTAAAATATTTTTTATTTTAGTTTATTGTACTGGGTCTGAATTATTATTTCTGTACCTTAGGTGGCTTCAAGAGCAGCTGGTGGAAGTGTATCAGATGTGGTTGAATAGCCAACAAAATACTGCTGTTAACAGTGTAACTTCTTTCAAACCCCTGAGCGTCCATTATACCATCCACCCTGTCATCAAAAAAAAAGTTTATAGCTCTATAAGTAAATCTTATGGGTGCTATGACAAAATAAAACAGTCAGCTGCTTTGTCATTGGTCAGAAAAGAAATTATAATTTGAAAATATTTTTTGAAAATCTTTCTACTTTGCTCAAGTTTTATTCAGAGCCTCTCACTCACACTGGCCGACGGATTTCCAACAGAGTCAGAAGAACTTGAATGCCACTGACGATGCAGCTTTCCGTCTTTTCTCCTGAAAACATATTCTGTAGCAGCTGCTCCACACACTCCTGGCTGTAAAACAAAAAAAGTAACCAAAGCACATCATTGTCTCTACAAGCAGGTTAGCGATACTGAACCTGCATCCAGGTTAAAGTCTGTGACTTACGATTCCAGAACTGTCAGCAGAGGGTCTGGCTGCGCAATCTCTTGCAGTTGACTGGCCTGATCTCTGCTGAGACGAATGATATCGCACAAAGTCTGAGAAGCATTTGTCTGTCTCTTAAAAAAAAAAAAAAAGAGGTAAGGAAAGAAGTTAACCTTTTAAGACTTTTTTCTATCAATGTCTTTATCCATATAAAGAACTTTTCTCATCTACCTCTTCATCTCTCTCAGGGTGAATGAGCTCGATGAGTCTCTGGGCCAGTTTCTGTTCATTCAGCCACTAACAGGAACAGATATTACAATAAACAACACACACGACATTGTCATTAAGAAATATTTGAGAGATTGGAATGTGTTGCGTACAGTGAGAGTCTCTAGTCGAAGTGGAGGTGGCTCCACACAGCTGATGAGGCGTAGCAGCACATCCATCATGGCAGACGTATCTATGTGCTTCAGGACCAATGAAAGGAATCCCTCCTTTTTTCGCAGGAAACTAATCACCTGTGCAGCACAGTTAAAAAAGATGAATGTATGAGAACATGTTATAGATAATATAAGACAGAGATGTGCAAAAGTTGCTTTGAACACATAAATCCAGGCTGCATTAAAGCAGGACCGTTTCACAGAAATCTAAACCCTGTTAGCTACAATGATTTCAAACAACAAACCATAATGAAACTGTTGATATAAAATTTCGGAAAAAAACTTTACAAAATGAGCAAGACAAGTGTGACCGACTGTGCTAAGCATTTGCTTCAAGTTCCCTTTTCCAATACCACAAGTAATATTTGCAATTAATAGAACTCGTATTAACCAATCTAGTCCTAGAAATCGAAATAACCACCCATAAGAATCACAAAACAATCAAAATAACCCCCTGTGTGTGTGTTTGTTTCCACAAGTATATATCCAGCTGTGCTCTGATGGCCTCGCAGAACATTTGTGGACAAATAGCATAAAGAACACAACAGGAATGACAGTTTTTGAGATGGTTAATGGGTTACAAAGCCTTGTAATCCAATCTTTGAACATCTCACAGGGATGTCCACTATAACTTCAAGTCATGTGAACCTGGAAGAGAATGGCACAACATGTAACCTTCAGAGACACAGCTCCATAAATCTTGCCCCCAAAGAAGCAGCCAAGAGTTGCTCTGGAAGATTTGAAGTGATAAAAAGCTATAAAGAGATAAAAAGGCTTGTATGTGTATAAACATGTTCAAACTTGATAGTCGGCATAAAGCTGCTCTACAAACCAGGTAAAGCTGCTACAGACACAATAAAATGACCACCAGCAAAAAGGGGCTCTTCTAGGTACTAAATCAGTGAGGATGAATACATATGAATGCCGCTCTCCATCTTTGGTAAACCATGTAAGCTTAAACACCTTATTAACTGCAATAGGACTTTTACAAAATCATTAACAGCAATTTGTGGCCTGCCCCATTATAATGCTCCCATTTCAACAAAAGAAAAAACTAAAAGCCATTCCAGGTAAAGGTTAATCTCTATGTGGGGATTATCCTTTAAATCCTGTCTTAATTCAATCCCAAAAACACATAAATGTAGCCCTCTGCTATTAAAGCCTGCCCTGTTGTTGCAGTAGGAGTGTTTTACCTGCTCAGTCTTCCGTGCTATTAAATTCCCAATTGTCTTGCTGAAGAAGGAGGCCAGCAGAGGGTTCAGTGGGGATGGTTGCTCCAGGAAGGCATACAGACTCTCCAGCAGAGGCTCCTCATTACCAAGTTTATCGTTGATCACCCCAACATCACAAGTCAGCAGCTCACATGCTATGTTTGAATACCTGAAAGAAAAAAATGTTTGAGGAAAAATCCACCAGTAAGAAATGAACTTGCCCATTTAGCATATTGGTTTCCCTAGTGTGTAAATGTGGAACATACCAGCTTTAATAATCTGATTATCTGATTATTAAATGTAGTTCACTGCTCCACCTAACTTACTTGAAGCGCTTGGTCTCTTCTGCGCCAGTAGGGGGCTCTGTCGTGATCAAACCAACTAGCTCTTGCATGCACTGGTCCTGGCAGAGGAACTGGAGGAGTCTGTAAACCCATTAAAGAATAATAAAGTCAAGCCAGCAGAATGCAAAACCTGATCCCTTTAAAAGTAAATTCAAAGTGCTAATGCAGAGACATCAACAACAAATGCACCTCCTGTTTTGGGCCTTGCACTCCTGAAGCACATCTTCCTCATCCATGAGCTCAGTGAGGGTGACATCCTCCTTGTCTAGCAAGGCCTCCAGGTGAGAGGATGGGTGCAAGTCAAACTTCCAAAACATTGTTGATGTCAGCAGATCTAACACTTGGCTGTTGGTCAGAGAGGAATGAGATATGAAGCACAAAATGCTGCACTTTTAAAACCAAGTAATCATTAAATATAAATGTCTTACAGGAGAACGAGGAGGTGCTCTCGCTAAACATCCATCTCCCTTATTATCAGAGTCCGGACATCAATCAGCATCTGCAGATTAAGACGTTCAGGTCAATCCAATCTACAGCAAAAAGACAACCTCAGGAGACTGCCTGTAACCTGGGGAATAAAAGATGAAGCTTTAAAAAGACAGAGTAACAAAGATTTTCTATGTGGCTTCAGGCAAAAGCTGAATCTAAGGCTGAACATTTTCTTTGGAGGGAGGAGCAGGAAGTAATGAGTCTGTAACTGAATTACTAGAGCCTATTTGTGTATTGATAGCGCCCATCATGCTTTGTGGTTTCACAGAGCTGTAGGTACATCAGCAAACACTAACTGGGCTTTACACTGGTACGGATGGGTCGAGGGGAGCTCCTACAAGCTGGGGACTTTGCTATTACAAAGTGCAAACTTGTAGATCTCAGTTATAAATAGAATGAGGAAGAGTGTTAAAGGCTACTGATTTCTTCACAATGCGGGGTTGATCTCAACAGCACTGACAAGATAATAGCATGCACAACAACTTATCTGGAGCACAAATACCTATTAAATACCCAACATGTTTACATGTAATGGTTAACTGTGATAGATTTCTGACAACATAGACCTTGTACACATCTCTTGAATAAACAGAGGCTTACATCTACTATCCAAAGGTGTACTTGCTTTTCAGTAACATTAAAAACAGAACTAGGTAAAGAAGTGTGGATTTACACTGAAAGAAAAACATAAAAATTAAAAGGCACACAAAAGGAAACAAAAAACAAACCATGTTGCCTTAACATTGACTTGATGAAATCAGAAAAATGCAACAGGAATGAAGACAACCAGCTGGCCTTAATAAAGAGCATGAAAGAAGAGGATCTTTTAACAAAATTCTGACAGGGATTCTGAAGCTGACTGCCATAACACAAGGCTTCATCTCTATACATTTCAACCCCATAGCCATTGTTTTTAATGAAAACAATGAAATAAACAGCTGACAATAACAATCAGCTTTTAACCTTAAACTTGGACTAATAGGTTCATATTCTAAACTGCATTTGTCCTCATCTGATCAGTTTCTGTGTAATTTTAGCCACACCATGTTTCATTTGTAATGTGATTTGCCAGTACAGCTGCAGGAGAAGAGAGAATTATACTCACACAGGAAAAAAGTTACTTACAAGTAATATTACCCAAGTAAAGCAAAAAGTATAAAGTAATCAAAATAATATTGAACCATCTCTTGGCGTTACAGTTTTTTTTTTTTTTTTTTTTTAAATCACTTGAGTAAATGTTACTCATTACTACACATAACTGTAGCACTCTATGTATTTTTATTTCCTTACTTCCTCCAGTTGATTGCAGCAGTGATGGTACTGGGAGTAGGAACAGCCACGGTGGGGTGACTTATTTTGTTTGGGCTCATTTTTAACTCTGACATGTTAACAAGTTCTAGTTGAAAGGGTGACAGTGCAGTCTTTTTGTAGCAAAGTGAAGATCATCCTTATGGAATGCAGTCACTACGGCAACTTGTTTGATGTGTTTGAAAATGATCACCAAAGAGGTATTATAATGAGTACCACTGGGCTGAGGTCATCCAGCACTGGCTTGGTGAGGGTCAGAGTGTTTTGTGTCTGTAGTGTAATCCTGTTTGGACTTATACAGTCTATAAACTGATCCACAAAGCCTGTGACAGTCTGGGTATGGCGAAGCGGGACAGAAGGATGGTGTCCAAGCTAAAGATCGACCTTATCTGGATGATTTACCGGGCAAGCACAGGATCTTGTTTAATCCAAGACCGATTCCAGCATGATGCACCACATAACCTCCCCTCAGTTAAATCCTTGCAAGCTGTGAACATAAGACCTCCTCAAAAGGAGCACAGCCATATTAGACTTCCAATCAAAAGTTTTGCTTCCTTTTTAATTTGATTTTAACATCATATCTGTATTAAAAACTCAAAGAATGTGCTCAATTACTTTTTATTTTAAACAAAAAATTGCACATGCAGCAAAAAAATGTGACGTCACTAGACGTACATTCACGTTGTTTCCGGTGTGCAGTTTTTGGATTAATTAAACAGCATTTAAAAAAAACAAAAATAACCAAAACAAACACGACAAATTGACCACACCATGTTGTTCAAAACAGCTGAAGTGAGTCTGGTTATTTTTATAAACAGGTCAGCCGTGTAGTTCATGTTATTCTGCAATAGAAATGCAGAAATGTTCCCAGAAGGTTTTATATACAGCTAAAAAACAACAACAGCCCAACCAACGGCCAGCTTTAAAAGGCCTTTCAAGCATCCCGAGCGCATCAGTTAGCGATTAATGTTTATATAAGAATATCAATAATAACACGCTAAAATCTCCATCAGCTTATCAAACAACTTGGGGTTTTTAATCACTGTGATGCACGCGCTTAAGCTGAGGTGCCTTTCACTTACCTGCATATAATAAAAGGAGCCGTTAGCACAGCCGCGCTCGCGCTGCTGACGTTACAGACTAATTTAACACGATGGAGAAACGATGCATTTAGAGCCACAGCTAAGATAGAGACGCTATTTATCGCAGCTGTGGGCTACATTAAGCTGTCAGACCGTGTCCTCCTCATTCAGACCTAGCTTCAGTGTCTTCCGCCGCCAAGTTAACGCAGCAAAGCCTGTTCGGTTAGCCTTTCATATAGCGGAATGTGTTTGTTTAAAAAAAAAATAAAGCAGTTCTTACCTTTGTTACATCCTCTCACTGTTGGCTGCATGCAGGCTGAACAATAATGGGTGACTTGGTCTGTCGGGTCAGCCGCAGGCCCATGGCAGCAGCCTCTCTGTGACTGCGATGTTAGCCAAACATACTACCTCTTTCCTGGCTGCAATGTCACCTCCACTGCCGCTGGACGGCGGCTGAGCGGCCCGGGTGGTGTGTGGACACGCGGCACTCAGAAAGAAAACGAAAAAATTGAAATTTAAAAATGGTGACTGCCTAAATTGTTATTGAATGTTTGGCTGTGAAACAAACGTGCAAACATGTTTGTTATTGTTTTTTTTTTTTTTTTTTTTTTTTTCTTGAGTCCAGAGACATTGCTAGTAGTGCAACCTCTTTTATTTCCAATAGAATAGAAGAAAAAAAGTGAATATTTATCAGTTTTCCTTGTATGATATAACTCTCCACAAAGATGAGTCTTTTTCTATTCAGTCTTTTTTCTATTCAGAATTCAGTTGTAACAGGTGGCACCAGTTACAACTGGTGCCACCTGTAAAGGTCTTTCTTGTTTTGTTAAACGTATAGAGGAGGATGTTCTTTTTCCGGGTGGATCTTAAAATTAAGTGGTCCCGCTAATTGTCAATCATTCTAGTGATATGTACATTTTCACTTACCGATGGTGAGTCTGACAAAGTGGAAAAGTTGCAAATCTTCTTTTGGAAAGTAAGCTTATGGTTATAGGCTCTTGGCGGAGGGCTGTTGCAGTGCCAGGGTTGTTATTTCTGCTCTCCCCAAAGGGGGGTGGAGGGAGGGACGAATGGGGTATTGAGGGGGAGGAAGTGGCTAGGTGAATTTTTTAGGGAGCTCTGGCTGGGTGGCCTGTGCAGGACATGTGGGCCCGTCCCCGGGTGGGCTTTTACTGGGAGTCCTCTGGTCCGGGTAGGGGGGCAGGCCCGAAGCAGGAACCAAATGGGTTAGTATGGTGGTGACACCGCTCCCCTTCCTCCCATCCGGATTTTAGGTTCACCTATTGGGTCATCCAGTAATCCCGGGACTGGCCACCAGCACCGCCTGGTCCTCAGTCCTAGGATTATTGGTTGTGAGTGTTATATGTGAACGTGTGTCCGCATTTTTTTGTTGTTGTTCCTCTTCACAGAGACTGTGTGTTCCGAGTGGGGGCATCAGGGTGGGAAGGCGTGTATTTTTAAAATTTTATTGTTTGTGTTGATGTATTTGTCATTTTGGGGTCTGAACTGCTCCCTCTCACAAGAACATCCCAAGTCTCCACTAGGTGCAGAGCCCATTCCCGCCATCCGCCCTCCCTCAGCTGGCTGACACTTGGGGCCTACCGGTGCACTGGTGGTGCTCGGTGTTTGGGGGTGGATGCCCAAGCGGGTACTGGCTTATTCCTGGCGGCTGCTCCGCGGAGCCTGGCCCGCAGGGGGGTGGGGCACCCCAGTCCTTAATCTAAGATAAAGGACTGGGTTCATTCTATCAGTTCCAAAGAAAACATTCAAGCTAAAACAAAGTTTCTCAGATACTCATATGAGAAAACTAAACATTGAAGTTCAATTGAAAAGATGAGTTAACAGACTAAAACCGTTATTGTTATCAATTATTTATTACATTTTAATTTACTTAGTTATTTCTATTTATTTATTAATTATCATATTATTATATATATATATATTATTAAGATCGACAGTTAAGACCCTTAACATTATAATAAGAATTATGAAATGAAAACTTAATCGGCTCATTTATTCGTAAGAAACAGAAGCTGTTCTGTTATTTCCCACAAAAATATGAGAGACATATGTATTTCAAGAACAGCTACCACCAATACAAATAAAATTTAGACTTAGACTTGTCCAGCGGTGGATCTGGCCACTGCTAGTTTAATCTTTATCAAAGATTAAACTATTCTAAAAGCTGTCGTTGCTGGGCTCCTCATCAACATTTTATTGGAAATGTAGCCATTTTATACTTTGAAATATAAAGCTAAATGTTTATGTGAGAAAACCGTTGGAGTTTTCTGCTCTAAACTATCTTCATCATGTTTCAATTAATTCAGCTTGAATAAGCCTGAATTTGGCTTATTCTCCACTTTCTGGTTAAATGATCTCTGGAAAGGCTTGAACAGCTTGAAAATTATGAAAACAAAGGTAATCATAAAATACTGGAAAAACTTGGGAGCTATATTTTTTCTTTAGAAAATATTAAACAGTAAAAATGAGGAACTAAAAAGACCCCTCAGTTTATAAAGAAAACGAAAATCTTGAAACAGTAATCTGACTTTTAAGTTAATATGGTTAAGTATCAGGTAATGGCCTAATTTACCTACTTACAATAAAGTAAGCAGGTACAGTATTTCTTTTTATTGTATTACTTCAATGTTTTATACATTTTGTTGGAGTGATAAGGAAGGAGGGTGGGTATATACAGTAAACTCCTTTTGACCTAAACTTGAATGGAGGTGATTGTTGCCTCATCATCAGCTGATTTAGTTTCTACCTCCCTGTTTTTTTTTCTGTTAATTTTTAGTCTCTCTCACTCTTGTTTTTTAAAAAGAGATTGCTTCTTCATTGCAAGAAAAGAAAAAGCCCTAAAACGATTTATCCTTATTATCGGTGACCCTGAGCATGCTCTGCACCAGTGGTATAATCTAGTCTGAATTAACTCCTCACTGCAAGTACAAAGTAAAATGTTCCATTCATCATTCTGTCATGTAAATGTATCCATGTGTTTTCATGCACAGCACTTTAAATCATCAAATGAAATGGACGATATAAATAAACTATGTTTGCCTTGATCAGCAAGTGCAACATTTTTGCAGTAAACTGCTCAAACATGAGGCACTTCTAACAAAAATTAGTAATGGTTTCATGTTTCTTAGTGCTAAATAAAGGTAACACAGCAAGTTTATGACTTTAATATCTGCAGTTTCTTTTTAGCATTCAGTCTGGTGGATCTTCACTTGATACCAACTTCACTCGTGCTGAAATAATCTAATAATTTAGTTGACAGAGTAAGATTTTATTGACTTGAGCTGCTTAATCTCTCACGTGCTTGGTTAAAAGATTGTGTTTTAAGGAAAGCATTCCAATTTTATTTAGAAGTTGAGATGTCAATTTTTTCTAGCCATCTGCACCTATTTCTTTTTTTTGTCTGACTTCTATACATTACAGAATTTTTTTCTTTATTTTAATTTGCTGCACTCCCATTTTAAAATGTGCTGAATTCATCTCTTATCGCCACTGGTGTATTGAATTTGCATTACAATTTACTCACCCTCTATCTATCTGGTTATTCATTTATATTCAGTTTTCTCTATGTATGTGTAAAACAGCTGCAAACGTTAGTATGTATTTTGAAAATACTTCATGTCAATTGTTCATATGAGGTAATATTATACACTCACCGGCCACTTTATTAGGTACCTCATGCTAGTAACGGGTTGGACCCACTTTTGCCTTCAGAACTGCCTCAATTCTTGGTGGCATAGATTCAACAAGGTGCTGGAAGCATTCCTCAGGGAGTTTGGTCCATATTGACATGATGGCATCACACAGTTGCCGCAGATTTGTCGGCTGCACATCCATGATGCGAATCTCCCATTCCACCACATCCCAAAGATGCTCTATTGGATTGAGATCTGGTGACTGTGGAGGCCATTTGAGTACAGTGAACTCATTGTCATGTTCAAGAAACCAGTCTGAGATGATTCCAGCTTTATGACATGGCACATTATCCTGCTGACAGTAGCCATCAGAAGTTGGGTACATTGTGGTCATAAAGGGATGGACATGGTCAGCAACAATACTCAGGTATGAATGTGGCGTTGCAACGATGCTCAATTGGTACCAAGGGGCCCAAAGAGTTCCAAGAAAATATTCCCCACACCATGACACCACCACCACCAGCCTGAACCGTTGATACAAGGCAGGATGGATCCATGCTTTCATGTTGTAGACGCCAAATTCTGACCCTACCATCCGAATGTCGCAGCAGAAATCGAGACTCATCAGACCAGGCAACGTTTTTCCAATCTTCTATTGTCCAATTTCGATGAGCTTGTGCAAATTGTAGCCTCAGTTTCCTGTTTTTAGCTGAAAGGAGTGGCACCCGGTGTGGTCTTCTGCTGCTGTAGCCCATCTGCCTCAAAGGTCGACGTACTGTGCGTTCAGAGATGCTCTCCTGCCCACCTTGGTTGTAACGGGTGGTTATTTGAGTCACTGTTGTCCTTCTATCAGCTCGAACCAGTCTGGCCATTCTCCTCTAACCTCTGGCATCAACAAGGCATTTCCGCCCACAGAACTGCCGCTCACTGGATGTTTTTTCTTTTTCGGACCATTCTCTGTAAACCCTAGAGATGGTTGTGCATGAAAATCCCAGTAGATCAGCAGTTTCTGAAATACTCAGACCAGCCCTTCTGGCACCAACAATCATGCCACGTTCAAAGTCACTCAAATCACCTTTCTTCCCCATACTGATGCTTGCTTTGAACTGCAGGAGATTGTCTTGACCATGTCTACATGCCTAAATGCACTGAGTTGCCGCCATGTGATTGGCTGCTTAGAAATTAAGTGTTAACGAGCAGTTGGACAGGTGTACCTAATAAAGTGGCCGGTGAGTGTATATTATGTTCATACAAAACATTATCTATCAATCTTAATAACTAACTGTAAAGTGCGCCAACTTGAGTTAGACTGACATCTTTATTAACATCCTCTTCTATTTGTTTAATTTTCAATACATAGCAGTCCTTACAGTGAAAGCTACACATAGTTGTATTTTTAAATGCTGTGGATTATTAAAGGTCAAATAGCAGACATACTGCAGTAGATATAATATTGTAGTCATTTCATTGGGCCTGAGTTTGTTAATACATTCAGCTCCATCTACTGGCCAAAGCTTGTACCATCAAAACAAATTGTTCAAACTGATGATTGTTAGTCACAAAAGCAGATCTCAGAAATAACATTGACAGGCCCTCCATGGAATGGCATCTAATACCAATAAATTATAATTTATTTATATTATTAAAGATAAACGTTTCAACAAGACAATAACATGAACCATTTTTTGTAAAATAGTTCAGATGTGTGAATAATAGGCTGTGCTATTTATCTATATTCTTTTTTTATTTTGTTAGGATTGAAGTGTAGATTATGATATAAAGATCTGCATACAGAGTGGCTGACAAAATAAATCAAATAAATATTATGCTAGTGACATTACTTGTGACTGTCTAATAGAAAATCTTTGAATATGTGGCCACATAACTGCAATTATTGCAGAGTGTTCATACTTGTTCAAAAGTATGCTTCCACTAATGTAAGAATAAGATTGAGGTAACCTATTTCTCCAGTGTCCCTCTTTAAGGTAATAAGGGCTGCAAAATACTGGCTGTAAAACTGTTGCTGGGAATTGGGATTATTTCATGAATTATTTTAATAGGATATTATTTTAATAGGACTAAGGTGTGAACTGAATTTAAGTTAGCTTTAGGTATGCAATGATAATGATTAGGGTTATGTTAAGAGACTGGGTTAAGGCATGGAAATGAATGGAAGTCAATGTAAAACTTCAGTGAGAATAACAGGACACAGCTTTTAGATTTCACTGGGGTATAATCTTTCTAGGTAGAATTGTATCAGATTATTCATCCTGACTTGACAATATTGTCTGTCTTCTTTATTTCTTCTCCCGCGTACAGCCCTAATCAGTGCACATAAAAGGTTTAGATCTGCAATCGTTTCTCTTTTGTTATCAACCCAATACCTTCTTTTGATGATTTGAATACACACTTTTAGGTTGGTGCTGAAAGAGGAAGTTAATTTATATCATCGACTTTCCAGGAGAAGCCTGAGGCTTACTGCATACAACGAGCAGTGCATGAGACTAGTTATATTGCCGACCACAATTACTAAACCCGCTGTTCCAGCTGAGGAAAAAGTCCCCCAAAGGAAGATGCTGCCACCACCATGCTTTACTGTAGGTACAGTTTAACATGATTGTGGTTGTTAACTCTGTGCACAGTCACCCATACAACAACATTCTTTATCTTTTATTTTTCTCGACTTTATTTTTGTTCCCCAATTAAAGGGTTTCAGATTGTTTTGTTGAATTTGAATGTCTATAGGTCACATTTACAAAGCCAGAAAAAAAAAACAAAAACAAACAAACAAACAAAAAAAACGTATTTAACGGTTTATCACTGTGTTACAAAACCTATCTTTAAACAGAAGTCATACAAAAATGCCATCCTGAGGTTTACTGCATACGAGCAGTGCATGAGACTGGTTATATTGCCCACCACAATTACTAAACCTGCTGTTCCAGCTGAGGAAAAAGTCTCCCAAAGGATGATGCTGCCACCACCATGCTTTACTGTAGGTATTGTAAAGTGGGGAAATATGGTTAAAACCTGCAAGTTTGGCCTCATTAGATGACAAAAAAAATAAAAAATAAATAAATAAATGTACAAGCCATGCCTCTTGGGAGTTTTATTTATTTATTTTTTTAGCATGAATATTTTTTATTGGCTTCCATCTTGCCAACCCATACAACTGGTCAAATGTCTACAATATGTCCACAATGATGAGTTGAGTTTATACAGTAAAGCTCTCTGCCAACAATGGCTTTAACTTGGATGCAAACAAGGAACTTTCAGAAATATACTCCAGAAAATCTGAACTGTATTTGAAGTTAAACAGAGACATATATGAACTGACTTCAATTTAACATGATTGTGGTTGTTAACGCTGTGCACAGTCACCCATGCAACAACATTCTTTATCTGTCATTTCCTCGATTTTATTTTCCCCCCAATTAAAGGGTTTCAGATTGTTTTGTTGAATTTGAATGACTATACGTAGCATTTACAAAGCAAAAAAAAAAAAAAAACAATTTAATGGTTTATCTCTATGTTACATAACTTAATAATTAGACAGAAATTCGTACAAAACTGTCTTTTTTGGGGGGGTTAGACCTTATATGGCTGTTGTATGTTTTTAGCTAAATATTTAAGTCAAAACACATCTTAGAATGTTTGAAACCATTTAAACTTACGTTTATAAGTGACTGTATTTAAAATCAAGCCAAAAGATAAATAGAAACATTTAGAAGTCCTGTCGAAGTTTGCTTAATTTATAAATGAAGGGGTTAAAATGGCTTCCAACTCCAGATAAAACTGCAGGAATAGAGTGTGTGTGTTAGAGTGGGAGGACAGCCCCAGCCGGTGAAGGTTGGGAAGCTCATCTGATTCTCCGCAGAAGCTCTCTCTCTCTGCTAGCCGGTTAGCACCATGGCCAACGTTGCGGACACCAGGCTGTACGATATCCTCGGAGTTTCACCTACTGCCCCTGAAAGCGAACTAAAAAAGGTATGTATCTTCTGAAAACAAAGAAATAACTTGGACTAAGAAGGAATTGTGAGGTTGGTTCGTTGAAAGTGTAGTTTTGGCCTAAACAGAACAAAACCCAGTATGGGGGGGTTAGCTAGCTAGTTAGTTTACTGGTTTCTAGCTAGTCTCGAAGCATGCTAGCCAGCTAAAATACTCACCCGTATCGCATTTTTATATATGAAGTATTGCAACTATACTGAAAAACAACGATTTAAAAGTTTATTTTATTACTTCAACCGATAATTTAAGGTTAAATGTCCTCATTTTAAACAGTAATGAAACACCATGGAATGCTAGTGGCTGCCGGTTAAACCAGTTAACCAAGTGACGTTTGGTTGGTGAAAGTATGAATTTATGTATAGATCTTTATGTCATTGATTTAACTGACAGATCATCCTGGAAAATGCAATAGGAAAACTTATTTAGTGACTAATACTGGTTTTATAAACGTTTCTGGTTGTTCAGCTGTAGATACTTCTCGGCCTTCTAGAAAACCTCGTGTAACTGTAGCAACCAAAACATACACTGTGTACTTCTCATTTCCACTTTATTTGGTTTAGCTACGACTTGGTCTCACACATGGATAATAGAAATCAAAACATATATATATATTAAAAGGTGGGACTTTTAAATGATCCTTGTACAGTGGCGCAGTATCAGTTTTCCATAGATCAAATCTGGCTGGTCGTCGGCAGATTATTTACTAAACTATTTGTTATTCGTTTTGACAAGAGTCATTCACACGCATTAGAGTCAAAAACTTCCACTTTTCCCAGTCCTTGAATGCGTCACAAAATGTCACGACTCTTGTTTTGAGTACAATCGACTACTTTGGCTGAATTGATTTTCACCCTTTTGTCCATAACTCCCAGTTTTTAACCCTGAATAAGTTAGAGTCAGGGTCGGGGGCACAGGTTTTGTAGTCTATTAAAACATATTCTTATTTAGGGCCATAGTATATCCACACAAATGTGAATGAACTAATTATAATTTTGATGGTGCATTTACTTTTACTTTACAGTATTATGCTTTTTGTGTATGGTATGACTAATAATTGGTCGACACACACAAAAAAAAAAACGAGTCAAAATTCTTTACAGATGCAACTATTGGAAAGAGTATTTAAATTTTGACTATTTTTTTTTTTTTTTATAATTCCCAGGTCTTCACAAAAACAGTTTGAAGAATCACTCACTTAGTTATTTAATTAGAAACAGTTTCCATACCTGTAGTAGAGATCTGTAATATATGTGAGCTTGTGAAAAAGGTAAATAAACTGCACAAAAGTATAAAGGGAAGACATACACTATACAATATAACTTCAATTAAATCAAATTATCCACTAACCCCCAAAATTCCACATCCTCCATCACCCTCTGACCCGTTCGCGTACATCCTGTGGAGCACTTGTGCAGTCATGTTAATAAATGAGAACTGTTCCACATCCGCCGCTACTCCTCCGAACGTCACCGTCCATGTCATTCTTTTCCGTCCATCGCCGTAAAAATATGGAGCCAAACTCTCTCTTCTCGACTACAGTCTGATGGAAACCGGCCAGGTCAAAATCTGTAATTGCAATCGCACCAAATAGGAAAACAAACATCGAGAAGATCCGTTTGTCAAAGTAAAATAGGGTAGCAACTGCTCAGTAACAACAAATAGAACATAACTCTTATATATATATATACCCCAAAATTAAGTATTGGATGCAAACTATTGATATTTTAGCTTACCAGGATGCGGATTTGTCATCGCAAGTGAAATATTTAGAGAGAGAGGCTTAAAAGTTTCATCAAATTCAGTCACAACAACTTCCAAGAGCACATCTCACAACATCAAAGAAACTTCTTGTTGCAGGCATGAATGAAGAGATGCAGATTTTGGAAGTGTATATAATATGACACATGCCTGCTACCAAGCTTTTCTTTGTTACTGCCATCTACTGCTATATAACTAGGAGTTTTGTTTGAACTGATGCTGTTTATTTAGGTTGTGTTTTTGTCACACTTCTCATTTGTATTTACAGAAACTAGAAACATGTAAGCTTTTAAATGACTACTCTCAGAAGTAATTTGGCCATACGGTTCCCTAGTTATTTGCTTTTCATTTGGGTATGCTAAATTGGCAATTACTTAAAAAGGGTGTGAGTTAAGAGGTTATAAGAACATCTTAATTCCAAAATTCTTTTTGCAGTGTTAAACAGCAAATTTGAGGTGTTACTGCCATATATAGTTAGCTAATAATAATTTAAGTTTCATTCTTTTATTTTTTTTTTATTGGTTTACTTTGTAATAACTTTACGATAACCTTAGATTTGATAGTGTTTACAGACCCTCCAGGTGAGGTATTTTTTGCTGACGATCTGGATTTAGTTAATTCTCTAACAATTGACGGTTCTGAACAGAACAGTTGTTTATCAGATAAGTAAATTAAAATAAATTTTGACCAGGACAGTTGGAATACATTATATTGTCATTTAAATTTTTTAATAAAATACCAAAATAATATAGCGTATTTGCCAGACTATAAGCCGCTACTTTTTTCCCATGCTTTGAACCATGCGCCTTATAAGAAGGTGCAGCTTTTCTGTGGATTTTTTCTAATCACTAGAGGGTAAGTCAAAGTTGGAATTGAAAGAATAAGGGGATAATTTTCACTTTGCACAAGAACATTTTAGCAGCAAACATGACAGAGAACAAAATGTCCCGAATTCTCTCATTTGGACATTTATTTGCTGCATTAAAGCTGCCGAACCAATTAAAAACTGCTGGGCTGAACACCTGCAGAGCTGAAATAACGAGCCGATAAAGCCCCATCTTTCAGTAGAAGCTCGTACTACTGCGAGCCAACAAGCTAACGGGAGCTAGCATTCTTTGTCCCTACTCCAGAGGCTATATATATGTATATTACCAGTTTTTTCAAAAAACTTAATGGGCAGGACTTATAGTGAGGTGCGCTCTATAGTCTAGAAAATTCTCTACTAAGGTCTTGGTACCTGTTTCGTATGACGAATACAGACATGTTGAGTCTTATATGTACGTACAGGGGATACTTTAGAGCCGATAGGATGTTAACTTGCTAATCGAATGTTTCTTTTCTTAAATGAATATGTTGTTTTTTTTGTTTTGTTTTTTCCCACTTACAAATTTAGGTGCTAATTTGTTTTTATTGAGTTTCGGGCCATTGGTGCATGGGGAACAAAAACTATGTAAATGAACATGTAGGGTATTTTTTATTCATGGCCACAGTTTGTTAAATTAATTTGTTGAATCAAACCAAAGTTTTCATAAAGTAACTGAAAATTGGTATCTGTAAACACCATTATAACTATAGAAGCAGAAAGCTTCAAAGTTACATTTTAATTGTAATTCACTTGTACACTTTCAGGCCATCATATTTTGAAACTATATTTCAGTCTATGCATATTGCAATTAGAAATGTCTTGAATTTTCTTTAAAAAAAAAATTAAGCATGTGTTTATAACCAGGCTTTTGTCTGCTTTATGTGACAGAAGATTAGGCATATGAACTGTTAATGCATTGCAGTGATTTGCTTTAAAAACTATAAAAAATTTTTTAGAAAACTAATTACAGAAGTTCTTAATTTTTTCTTTGTTTCAGGCGTATCGCAAATTGGCCAAAGAGTACCATCCTGACAAGAATCCTGATGCTGGTGACAAGGTACGAGCTTCCATAAAACTTGTCAAATCTAGGTGTAGCCACAACAATGGCAGTGGCAAAAAAACTGAAAGATTCACAATTACATCGGATCTTCAACAGTAACACTGGGTTCACGTCACCATGAAGGGATTCCAATTTCTTATTCCCATCTTTGATATAGTTTTCTAAAATAAACACCCAGTGTTTCAAAAACCTCTGCATTTGGATCGCTTTTACTGCATGCATTTTTATTTTTCTATGTATCTTATTTTGTAATTATTTTTGTTTTAATTTTTGCAGTTTAAAGAAATAAGTTTTGCATATGAGGTGCTGACAAACCCAGAGAAGAAGGAGCTTTATGATCGCTATGGAGAGCAGGGACTTCGGGAGGGAGGCGGAGGGGGCCCCGGCATGGACGATATCTTCTCTCACATTTTTGGTGGAGGTCTCTTTGGTTTCATGGGTGGACGTGGCAGTCGAAGCAATGGGGGCAAGAGGAGAGGGGAGGATATGGTGCACCCTCTGAAGTGCGTATTTTACATTTTCCAAGTAATTTAACTGATCTAGGAGGTTTTTCAATTTTAACCTGTTATTTTCTAAAAACTCTTTTCTCATCCCAGAGTTTCCCTTGAGGACCTGTACAACGGAAAAACTACAAAACTGCAGCTTAGTAAGAATGTATTGTGTAGCGCCTGTAACGGGTGAGTCCAGTTTTATACTCTGTTTATAAATTGGATTAAGATTTGAACCTCTCTAATCTCTCAAAGGGGTTCTGTTTTTTTATTTATTTATTTTAATTTATTTGTATTTTGTTAATACTTCTGGGCAGAGTAGTCAACATTTTTGCCATTCTCCTCATTGGGTAAAACATGCTTGATAAGCTGATATGAACTGGTTTATTAGTTGGGCCTGGCGCTCGGGTCGTTAGCCTGCATTTGGCTACACAGACGGGTCCCTTGGTATTGTAGGTGTAGAACTACAATAAGCGGATATCGATTAAGATTTTAATTTAGTTTAAGATATAATTTCACTTCTCTTTCAGTTGATTTATTTTGAACAGCTTGTAATATCTGGAGCACATTTAATGAAACTGCTTATTTGTACCTATTGACTTGTAGTCAAGGGGGTAAGGCAGGAGCGGTACAGAAATGTGTGACATGCAGAGGAAGAGGAATGAAAATCATGATCAGACAGCTGGCACCAGGGATGGTACAGCAAATGCAGTCCGTCTGCACCGACTGCAACGGAGAGGGTAACACTTTTCATACAAGCTAACAGCCCAGGACTCAGAAAGACAAACAATGCCCAGTAAGAACCCAGAAGGACTTTTTTCTGAACAGTATTGTTTCTTTTTCTAGGGGAGGTGATAAATGAGAAAGACCGCTGCAAAAAGTGTGAGGGACAGAAGGTTTGCAAGGAGACAAAACTACTAGAGGTTCATGTGGACAAAGGTATGAAGCACGGACAGAAGATCACCTTCTCTGGGGAAGCTGACCAGGCACCAGGTGTGGAACCTGGAGATATAGTCCTTGTTCTTCAGGAGAAAGACCATGAGGTAATCTACTGTAAATTACAGCTGACTCTTGTTTTTTTGCATTTATTTTTTTTTTGTAATGAGTTTAAAACCTCGTGATTTTTATTTAAACAGGAATTTCGACGTGATGGCAATGACCTTCACATGGTGCAACGCATTGGCCTTGTTGAGGCACTGTGTGGCTTCCAGATCACCATCACACACTTGGATGGACGCCAGCTGCTGGTCAAATATCCACCTGGCAAGGTCATTGAGCCAGGTAAACGTTTTGTTATGCTTCTGTTATTCATATACACAGCATATAACCCTGTACACACTGTGTCTAGAGTCAAACATGGTGGGGGCTGAATCATGCTTGGCAAGGAAGGGGGAAGCTTCTCAGGGTTAATGGAAGATTAGCAGAGCAGTTTGTTATGAAATGACACCTAAGAGGGGGGAAATAAAGCGATGCATTGATGTTCTGCTGAGCTGGAAGCCCAAGGAGTGAATTTGTAGAAAGAAAAAAAAATCCCCAAATTAAATGAATTTTCCAACCTTAGATTAAATCTCACCCTATAGCTCTGCATTTGCAGTACTGCTGTTAGATTAGTAATGTGTACAGATATAAATTGTAAATCTTTTTTTTTGCTCTCTGATTGACTTTATTGTCTTGGTGACAGGTTGTGTTCGAGTCGTGAAAGGAGAAGGAATGCCTCAGTACAGAAATCCATTTGAAAAAGGAGATCTTTACATCAAGTTTGATGTTCAGTTCCCAGAAAGCAACTGGATCAGTCCTGACAAACTGAATGTGAGCTTCCATTTAAGAACTTCTTAAAATAATTAAGTCAATTTTTTAGTTTTAACTCTCTGTATCTCTTTAAGGACTTGGAGAACCTTCTTCCAGCCCGTGCTGACAATCCTGACATCGCTGCAGATGCTGAAGAAGTCGATCTCGCAGAATTTGACAGAAGTCAAGGTTCTGGCTGTGGAGGCAGGAGAGAGGCGTATAATGATAGCTCTGATGATGAAGGGGGCCATCATGGCCCGGGGGTGCAGTGTGCGCACCAGTAGAAAGACTCATACATAGACTTTCAAAAAAAGAAACCTTCAAGTTCCATTATTAGCACTACTCGATACCTGATGCACACACACCTTTCTCTTTCATGCCTCCAGTGACAAGGTAATGCATAAAATCCTAATGAAAAAAAAAAAACAAAGTACACTAGTCTCCCTTGTCAGTTCCATGGTCCCAATGCCTCCTCAGAGTTCCTGGTTGGGTAAAGAAAGCCTTTAGATTAAGTTTGTAAAGTCCTGAATGCAAGGTAGGCTTTTTTCATCCTAGGATTAACCCCTCTGTAAAACAGTTTGGTCTGAAACTTCAAATTCTGGCAAATATTTAAAATTGGCATAATTCATCCAAAAGAAGCTTGTACTGTTTTCTTCTAGTGGCCATGGCGACTAGACTGAAACCTGTATAGTTTTTAAGACATTTGAGTCAGCTAATCAGATTAGAAAACCATCCAAAAATATTTAACCAGCCTCTAATTTATGATACAGTAGTTCAACCTCTGGTTGTGCTATGACATTCTGTAATTTGCTTGTTTTTTTTCTTTTCAGTTTCTAGTAGTTTCAAAACAATTTTTAAAGCACCTGGCGCATTTGAATTTTATTTTTTCCCATTTTTCTGGAATGTAAACTTTATCTTGTTGGTGTGTATACGTGTGTTTGAAACCACAAGCCTTGCAGATTTTATTAGTGTTGATGACACACTTTGTTTGAAATGCAGTGGCCCAGTGTGTGGGAACTGTTCTAGAATGTTCTACCTTAGTGTGCTGGTTTGTGTTACTGCTTTGTGCTAAACAGCAAGGACATTGGATACCAAATAAAGTGAGATGAGGATGAAAAGCCTAAATGTTCGTATAGAATCTGATATACTTATTTCCCTCCTCTTACTTGAACTGTATTGTAGGGAAACTGCTTTGCACACACTCAACCTTCTGTATATATACATCTTCCTATTGTATGGTTATTAGCCAAACCATCCCTCCATCACATGTTACATTTTCATATCTGTAAATAAAAACAGTACCAGTCATTGCGCGCATTTAAAATTTACAGGGGTGTTAGTCTTGAGTTAATTTTCTGACACAATCAATGTTCAACAATTAAATGTAAATGTTCACACAAAATTTATCTGGAGCCACTCTTGGATGTTTAAATGCACCTCTGTGACTCATTGTGTATGTAACTGGCTACTAGGGTTAATGTGCACAGTGAAAGGGAGTTCTAGTGAATTTCATTATTGTTGATGCTTATGGTTGTCAAAGTTATTAAAATGTATATTAAACTACTGCATATGTGAATCTCAGTCTATTCAGTCATAACCATTGCCTTAAAATGTTCCACAAAGGAACTAAGCTACGATTATGTCAAATATGTAGTGCGTTGGTTCTTTGTAATGTCATTTACATGATTATTGGGTTTAAATATTTAATAAGAAATAATTTCATTTATAGGGAAAATACAAGGTGAAATCCACTGCAGACCTACAAGGACACAGGCTCCTTTCACATTTACCAAAAAAATAAAATTAAAAGGCCTCAATTTTCCCCATCACTTACTGGCCCTAACGATGCAGCAGAGCAATGATCCAAAGCACACCTGCAAGCTCACCTCTGAATTGTTCAACAAAGACAGTTAAAGACGTAGCCTTAAAGCATACTCCAACACTTTATGTGGGTGAAAACATCTCTACAAGGTGGAGAGGGCCAACATTTCTATATAACAGACTAATGGCAAAGGCATCTTTTAAGTCAAGAGGAACTTTAACATGTAGGGCCACGTGGGTTCTGATTAGGTTTTCCTGTAGAAACACTTAAGAAAACTACATTTTGCATTCAACTCATTGATATGCAAGTTAATAATAAAAAAAAAAAAGCTGAAGAATTTTGTTTCTCACAGAACTAAGCAATTTCCATGTTCTACAGAAAGGATTTTATCAACAGTGGGATCAAACTACTTAAACTGTTTGTATCTCAGTTTGCTCCATCTTCTGTCTCTTTGGTGTGCAGGACCACAGGAGCTAGAAGTTCCTTAAATCCGGCCGTATTCCTGAAGATAAACACAAGCACAGCAATTTAAAAAGTCATTTTTGCTTTAATTTTTCCCCAAAGTGTTCCCATTTACCTGTCTCTTTTTGACTGCATGATGTAGGAGCGCTCCCTTCTGAGCTGCTCTAATCGCTCTCTAACAACAGTCTTCTGCTGGATCTTGTCCTCCTTTAACATAATTACATGTCACATTGTAATTACCCCGAACACAAAGTTATGGTTAGCAATTAATTTACATTGTTACCAGAGGTAGGTCTTGTGTCAGATGCTTTAGCCTTTCTGTGTGTTTGAGGCCAAGTAGATCCTCCTCCGCCTTTCTGTTCTGGATGATGGAGAGACGCTCCTGAACCTGGAATAACAGATGCTATTAGTGAAAATATTTCTCTGAGAGTACTTTGTCCTTATTTTCACCATTCTCACCCTAAACATTTGTCTCTCTTTGTCTCTTTGATGCCTCTGTTCAAACTTTCTTTGCATGTCCACCAGGTTGCGCATTGTTTTCTCTCTTTCCACTGCTTGGTGTCTTATTTCTTCTTTTTTCTCCCTGGATTCTATCTCCTGCACGAATAGATGAACGAGAAACTATATATAAGGAATAATTTGCCGGTTAGAGCAATAATCACACTTTTCATGGGTTGAGCTTTCAGGCTAATTTTGGGTCTTATGACACATTTTAGCATGTCATTTTCCTGGTCCAAAAACAAATCAACAGAGTGCACGAAACACCTACGCTTACTTTGCTGGATTGTCTCTTAGCAGGTTGAAGGGAAACCAATAATTTAGTGGATATCAACAAGGTGGCATAAATCTAGAAAGATATATGGCCCCTTTGTTGGTGCAGCTGGTAGATTCCATTTAAATTTGTTGTTTTATAAATCCTGAATTTCAAATATGACTAAGTTTAAACCTTTAGATAACCTGGTCATACAAAAATCCTCATGTTTGCTTTATCCGCTCCAACCTCAGTTGTGTTTGATATGCAAAATAAAATCATTTCAACATTTCAAGAACTACCACAGCTGAGACACAAACTAGAATCTTATAGATGTTCACTGTGAAGAAAGTTCTCAATGGACTGAGAGGGTTTCCAACAAAAAGGAATCAATGACTCCAGAACACGCACATCGAAGTATGAGGGGAGCTTTTTGCTAGACAGTTTGAATGCCGTCAAGAGCAAAGTTTTATAAATTGATGAGACAAAGGTTGAGCTATTTACCCAAAGTGACAAGACCCATATTTGGTGGAATGAATTGAGGCTTCAAAGAGCATAGCGGTGGTAGTAACATGCTGAGGGACCAGTTAGTGAGATACTTTATCTTTACAAAGCGACAGGTAGGCTTGGACAAAATTGGGTATTTTAACTGTAAAACATAACTGTTTCTGGAGTTTCTGGACTGAACAAAGCAAGTAAAAATTGACCTGAAATTATCAAAAATGAACCTTGACCCTATTAAAATGTTTGGGCTTTTTAAATACAATAAGAGATGAAAGGAAACAAACCAATCAAGAAAAGCCTTTAACCATTTGGCAAGAAGCTTGTGAATTTTTACAGTGAGCAGTTATTTAATGAATTAAAATTAGTCCTAAGCTAAGACTTTATTATCAGATTTGGAATACCTATTGGAAAGAACCTTCAAACTGGTATAAACATTTTTCCATAAAGCCAAGATTTCAGCAATAAAATAGTATTTTATTAGTCTGGTGTCACATTTTAATCTGCAATGTTTTTGTGAGCTGTAATCAGAGATTGTAATGAACAAAAATGAAGGCTTAAACCCATCAGTATGTCAGGATTTAAATATGTGTTTCGCATGGATTAAATACAAACTTCTCAGTAGTATTCTAATTTAATGCATGGGTCTGAATGTGTTGGTTTACCGGCAACATGCCAAGAGACATTTGACCAAATATTAGTGGAGTTAATGCATGTATTGAAACTGTATCTAAAATCAGTTAACCTGTGCCACAACATGTTTTGATTGAATGATTTTAAAGCTGGTCTGTATAACTCAGTTTGCAAATCAGGTGCACATGATTAAATAGTTATATTTCAAAACTTTCAATACTGAAAAGTAACACTTTTGTAATTAAACCTTTACATCCTCAAATTAATATGTGATTCTTAGCAATGGTGAAGGTATTGAAGCATCTCACCACAAGTGCAGAATTGACTAAAAGTGATACGCTGTTGATACATAAAATATATATATATTTATTGTTGATTGTAGGGATGCACGAACCTCATGGTTGGGGAGTTTTGTTCGGCTGAAATCCCAGAGCTCAGACTCTGTTATCTCTCTGCTGCCGCTGGCGGTGAGGTCGGATGCTCCTTCATCACTGTACTCAAAGGAATCATTTGAAACATGTGGGCAGATATCCAGCATGGTTTCAGGATCTTTTTCAGCTACAGCTTCTACTTCATCTGGTTGGTCTATGATTGGATTCTTGTCCAACCATTTAAAACAAAGGAGGAAAAAAATCAAATAAATGAGTGAGGATGCTATACGGGGTGCTAGTTATGGAGTTCTTCTTTCTTCCGCTGCAGATGTGCAAACTTACATTGTGCTGAGCTGAAGCCTCATCGCCATCTTTCTCCTGAGCCTTCTCTTCAAGTGGATTGGACTGGGCTCGGATTCCTATGCTGCCCAAGGTGTCCTGACTCTGTGCTGCTTCCTCATCTCCAACCACTACCATACAGTCTGTTTCATCCTGCGTTTGTTTGCTCCAAGCAAGGGGGATCAAGGATCCCTGTTTCTCAAAGCTCTGATGGCTGTTTGTTTCACTGTCATCTTCCTCGCTACACACTCCAGCCTCTGGAACATGAGCCCTGACCTGTGCATCTGGCACACATAAGATCTCCAGGTATGGCAGCTCCTCTATAACCGCCCCACAACCTAAGAGATCGCAAAGCAGGTTATAGTCTCAGCCAGGTCTGTGAACTTTCTGTTTTTGTTTGTGCTTGTAATACGGGTACCTGAGCAGACTTCCTGTTCAACAGAACCATCAGTTGTTGGGACTTCGACACATTCCTTGCTGGCTCTAATGATTGAGTCAGACATTGTAGCTGGAACTGATCCTGCACAGATGTTTTCAACTTCAGCTGTGCAAGATGTTTGAGGTCCAAAGTGTTTGTAATTTTCACCTCCCATGGAGCCAAGTGTTAGAGGGTCATCTGAGATTAAGAGATTGTGCAGGTTGGTGAAGCGTTTTGTTTTGATTTCAGCTTCATACTGTTCTCTAAAAGCTTGAGCAGCCTTTGAATCCTGAAAAAAATAAATTTTATTATTATTAATTTAATATTATCTCTACATTGATGAGAATTAATATTCAAACCTGCATTAAATAGAAGGTTTTCTCACCCGGTGCAGGAGCACTTCCAGTAGCCCTAAATCTTGGACCTCCTGAAGTTCCAGCAGATGTCTCAGGAGTAGTGGGGTGCAGTCTGCCAGCTGAGGCTCTGACCCCTCATTCTGCATTTTGATCTGACTGCTGGTTTCATCTGAGTTGTTCTCATGTCCATTTTGTCTCTGGAGCTGGGCATGGATTTGTTTTAGCCTTTTTATACAGCCAGCCCTCAAGGAGGTTTGCTCAGCATCATCAGCACCATCTAGAAACAATAGAACCAACAAGATGTTCTGTTCAGAAGTCTGTATACTGTCAAAGACATGAAAGCAAATGTAATTTCTGCTTTCTAATAAAAGATTATTCCAGTGTGGAATAATTTAACCAAATTCACTAATTACTTAAAACAAGAATTAGGTGAAGAGATGTCATGCAGAGGTTCATGCATTCAAAAGGCAAAATGTTAGAACTGTAAATATACAGTCATATGTTTATATTACAATTTCTTTATGTATTTATTACTGTTTTCAAGGCTGCACTTTAAAAAATGAAATCGTCTAGAGCTGTTTTAAACTAAATTTCTTTTTGTATACACTCGTGCATACAAAATGACAAAATAAATCTGTCTACGTCTCTAAGTCTGTCTATGCAAGACCTTTCCAAAATTAATGATAATGTTTGTTTTGGATAATATCCTGTAAAACACACAGGTTTCAAATATCTGTGAGGATCAAATGTAAAAGGAACAATAGTGAGGATGTGCAGGAGCAACCCAGGATCTATAAATGCTTAAACTAAATACTAAGTAAAAGAAAAAAGCAAAAGGTGCTGCAATTACAAGAAGACACTGAATGCCATCTAGGAAAGGTTTTATTTTTAACAGATGGTTGAAGTGTAGATCATCAACCTCGACCCAATTAATAATTAGTGGTCTATGCCTAAAATCAAGGCGCAAATAAGAAAACCTGTCCACTGAAATGAGTTCTAACTTTATAGAAGGATGAGAGAAACAGCCCAGATTTATCCCAGGGGCTTGATGATGACTTTAAAACTGTAGGGTTTCATTGTATAGAGTAAAAGAAGGCAATTTCCTTATTAGTATGGTATAATTAAGTCTATATGTATTCTATGTGTGTTAGAGATAATCAACAAAATATTTAAGGACATTTAGACGTCATAAATAGTCTAACAGACTGATTTTCAAAAGGTTTTCACGTCTTAAAACTAGTTCAGACGTGTTTGTAGGGATGGTCTTCAAAGAAGATTCATCAGGCGGCATATGCACTCACTTTTCTGCATTTCTTGTCTTAATCAATATGGGGATCATATTGTAATGACACAACTGTGAAGGTTTATTGCTGGAGGAGGATATGCAAATGTTAATATTTACCACATGCTAGGCAATTTTCAAATCTGAAACTAAGTGCAGCCCCGTTTTTTACACCTCTTTTCGCACGTCAGGTCGAAACTCACACATCATTCATCCGGCCATTTTGGCCACAGATGAGGCATTGATACGATGACAGACAATGCACACATGTACACTCATTTTAAGAGTCAGAAATGACAATAGTAGAATAATAGTAATGACAGCAGGACATCAGACAATCAAAAAATCTAAAAAAAAAATGTGTATGGTATGTTTGTTTTGTTTTTTTCTTTAATGAGCCTACCTTGTTTTGCAATGTTTTAGTGAGTGAGTGGCTCTTGAGAGGAGTTGGTAAAGGTAAATCCAGCTGTTTATAGCCTTTCTGCTGTAAATTGTGCGACTCCTTTTTTTTTGTCGAGGAGTGACGGGGGAAGAGGTCCATTATCAAAACAAATGGGATTTGTCATGTTTAATGTTTTTTTTATTATAACTTTATATATATATATATATTTTTTAATATTTAACTTTAGTTATTTTCATAACTTTATTTTTTACTTTTTTTGTAGCACATTGAGATAGGCTACTTATGTGAAGTGCACTATAAATTGTATTTAGGATTATCATTGATATGCTTTAAATAATTACTATCGTTATTACCTCCAACAACATCACTATTATCCTCATCTCTCTTTTATTATCACTCTTAAACTACAAGCATCCCAATTAATATGCTCATTTAAAGGGGGAAACCAGACTTTTGGTAGATCAGCCAAAACACGCCCACTTACTGTAAACGCAAAAACATTTTTCAGTGTCCAATTTAACATCCTTTGTTTGGAATCTTTTAAAATCCTTTTCCAAAAACAAAAAACAAGAAAGCAAACATATTTTTCTTTATAAGAATTATAAGAAACATACAATCCTCTGATTTGATCAATGGTGGGGTATCAGAATGAAAATGAGTTATGGATAGAACAATTCTTACTTTCTTTTGTGGGTGTCATCCTATCTGACTCCTGTAAATCTGCCATAGAGATCCCGTACACCAACTTCAGCAGGTGCTTCCTCTCCTTTTCTTGAGTCAATACAAGCAGCTGCAGCTCTGTGCTCTGACAAAGTTATAATTTGGTCAGTAATAAGAAAAGATTCTGCAGTAGCCTACTATTTTACAATTACTTTAATCTACCCTAAAAAAGGGAAGATACTTTAGAAAATAAGAATAAAAGAAAAGTCTCTTAATGTACAGAAAATACACCCATTCCTTGGCTGCTCTGGAGCAGGTACCTGCTCTAGTGTCTCGAAGTGCTCCTCCGCTTCCTCTCCTCCATCTACACTTTGTAGCCACAGAGTAATTTGTTCTGTTCTGCAAGGCCTGAAAACTTGTGGCCTAAAAACAAGTTTAGGTTATATGAGTAAATGTGAGAAACAATGTTGAGAATTCAAATATCTTTTTAGCTGTTAGTTTTGTAAACAGGAACTGCAGTTACACTGATCTTCATCAAGCAAAAAAAAAAAAAAAAAAGAAACAGAAAGAGATGAAACAAGTTGCCAGAGGAAAACCCCATTTTTTTCTGGTTTTGACTCGTTTTGTCCTACTACACACCTGTTCCTGTTTAAATAGTTTTGGAAATTCACCATGAGTCCCAGGATTGACGAGATGCTAGCAGAGCGCTGTAGGAAATTTTCTCCCTCTGAGCTCTATAAATCGCCAGAATGATGTGAAGACACAACAATTGCAGACTTTCATCACACAATCTGGAAGGAAAGAAGATCCATTGATTAACTCCTGTCCACGATTAATACTTGATGCATTGTATAATTTTTCATTATCGGTGAAGTGGAGGTAAATTCAAATGCATTTTTTTGACCTTTTGTTTCCACAAATAAAAATCAGTAACGTGTGACATGCTTTTTGCCCCTCTAATCTAAAACCCTTATATAAAGAAAGAGGTTTGTAAGAGAACATAAGAGTGAAAACAGCAAAGTCTGGGATTAAGATGTTGTTTTAAGCAGTTTTATATATCTTAAGCTTTAAGCAGGACAAGAGTTAAACCAATCATCTGAAAATCTAAAGGGTATGGCTGAACAGCAATCCTACCAAAAACATTATCATCCACCCAAGCTGACATGAGGACAAGATTATCTTTATCTGAGAAGAAACTAAAGGGTTCAATATACCTCTGTGAATGTGACCCAGAGACCCATAGCTTGGGTGGGATAATTTGTCCAAATATCAACTGCATTCATGAACTCATACTTGTATAAAAAGGTGAGGGAAGAAGCCACCATTGACGGAAAATCATAGGTTACCATTCAGAAATAAAGTAAATGTGCAGAAGATCTCTGGACAAATGATACCAAAACTTAAAAACAATGTCTGCATATAAGGTTGGAAACTGTACATAACCCTGAACTTTTTTTAAGCAGTGCACATATGCCTGGTGAGAGTTGATAGGAAGATCAATCAGAATTGAGCAGAGAATAGCTGAGATTAAACCAAATTCAGGTGTCAGAAGGACCCACGGTCAAAGCCCAAACCTAAATGTAGAAAACAGTCTATTTTTCTAGATTTACAACAACAATAGAGGCATAGTTCAAAATAACAGGAGTAACATTGCAAAGTTAGTTCTCTGGGGGTATTAATGCAATTACAGTGTCTCCTTTTTAGTGTTAGATTAAAAATATATATTTAACCATATGTCCTAATTGTTCCTGTTTTTAAATCATTTACAACCTTGCGTTTCCTTAGTGGTTGTAATAAGAGAAAATTCAGCAAATTATCTAGGAAGTTCTTCTCAAAATAGAGACATGAAATAAAGTCATTATTTACCTTTGACCCAGAACCATCAGCTCATTTTGTTCTTGTTGACACAAAGTGTGTAACTCCTTCAGGAGAGCAACAGCTGACCAGGACTGGTCCAGCTTTGAACACCTTGTTCTGCAGCGGGGCAAACACAGGAAATACAGTACCAACATTACTGGATAAAAAACATATCAAACTTTTTTCTTTTTTACTTGAATTTTTACTGTTTTCTATTTAGCTTTAATGAAATTTATAGAAGATGATGCAAAACATGCTTAGAGACAAAATATAATCGTGATTTTTTTTTAAACAATGGAACAGATGAGGTTTGTATGGAACATATGTAAAACACCATTACAATTAAAGTTTCATATCTTCTTATTGTCTGTATCAGGTTTGTTTCATTACTAAAATGAGGTGAAACATGCTTTAAATTCCTAAGCAGATTATACCTATTATTTTCCCCCCTTTTTTTTGTGCAAAGTTTGCTTTTTTAAAGTAAAATTATTATAAACATACCAAACCTTTGAAACTTATAAAGTCAAATAGAAATGTGTTTAAAACATTCCATACCATCAATTCAAATTGGCCACATTAATGAAGGATTCTGTCATTTTACATGCACTAACACAGAGGAATACACCAAATACAAAATTTATATATATATATATTTCTTTTTCAAAGGGTCTACATTGTCTAAGGCAGTATGCAGAGAAATAGCAACCCAATCAACAAAATCATCGAATTGCGAAGGGGAATAAACTAAACTGGTGCCCCCTGCAGCACCTCTCAGCGACACAGAGGAGAGAGAAAGGAAAACAGATTCTTTAAAATTTATAACTGCACTATCTGATAATGATATGCTAGAGTCAAACCTTTCTTTTGGGGTAGTAATCAGTAGTCAGTGAGGACAAGGTTGTGAGTTAATACTGCTATTTCTTCACATTCAATGCCATATGTCAGCACAAGGTCCAAAGTGTGAAAATGAGAATGTGTGGGACTATTCACATTTTGAACAAAGCCAATAGCATCTAAGATAGCATTCAAGGCTGCACTCAAGCTATTCCCTTCAATGTCAGCATGGATGTTAAAATCCCTTACTATGATGACCCTTTCAGTATTCAACACCAAATCAGAGGGGAACTCTTAAAACTCATCTAGAAATTCAGAGTATGGACCTGGTGGATGGATTATCACAAATCAAATCATTAACTTATAGAATTTTTGAAGAATGAGATATTATGTGAAATAAAACACATTCAATCATTTTAACTTTTTCCTCAATTCGAGTTATTTTTTATTTGATGATTTACTGCTTTGGGATTCTTGTCTAATTTATTTGATTTTGGTCACGGGCAATACACTGTCTGGATGGAGTAATGAGTGGGTAACAGCAGAGAAGCTGCAGAGAGGTGTGTTAAGCTACGAGTCTGTTGTTATTCAAAAGAGGGGAAAGATATATTTGCAGACTTGGCATGTGTCTTTTACTTGTAAATCCTGAAAGCTCCAGGCAGGAAAACCAAGCCCAGCATGTCATCAGACTGCAAAGCTTCCTCTGCCATAGTTCCCAGTGACTCCACTTCCTTTATTTGTTGCCAGGGAAGCAGCATCTCCCAAACACTTTGGGCTGAGGAAATCAGCAGAAACACTCATGAAACAGGAACACATCTGGAGCACCCTGCTAAATAAGCTATCGTCAGCACTTGAAGGTTAAAATGACATGAGATGTTTTGAGCACAGGTCAGAATGGCATGCCCTTACTGTGGTGTTCCTGAAGCATTTCTGTATAAAGAAAGTGAGTCACAACATCATATTTCCACTCCACTAGAAAGAGGATATCTGACATGGAGATCGAGCCCCATGTCTGACCCCTGAGGCCCAGCCTTCGGCTGCACCACATGGAGGGCAAAATAGTGTGAACACCCTCTGATGCCAGTCTGAGGAGGAAGAAGAAGTTTTCTGTCTCTTAAACCTTGTTAATCAAAGTAGAATATACAGCAAACTTTAGAATGGATTCTCAAGATTCCATTTGGGATACCTACACTATGTTATGCTTGTACACTAATTGCCTAAGGGAATCATTGTAAAGCATGCTAAAACTTGCTCACCTCGCCCAGCGCTTTTTGGCTGCTTTTTGGAGCCTCTTCATGTTTGCTGTTGTTTTGCAGAACTGTTTTACATCCTGTGTCAAAAATATAAAACCTGAAAACAGTGGAACAGTAAAAAGAAAAAAAAAACTCTGGTTACATCCAACGACTTACCTGGGAAATATATGTTTTAGCTGTTTGTATCTGTAATAGTTCTGATGTAGAGCTGTATGCTTTTCTTCTGAGTACATTTTGCAACATTTCACGAAGATTCCCAATATTTAGAAGCTGGCCGTCCCAGTAAAGCTGGGAAAATAGCACATATTCTCAGCAATAAATTCAAAGTAATAAGCAACAAATTGACATGAAAAAAGGTGTAATTCTTATACATTTTTCTTCCTTTCCTTCTCCCTTTCCATTTCCAAGAGCACATCCAAAACATTTGCACCGACACAGGACCAGCTTTCATCCCCTCCTGCAACCTGAAACACAAACAGTTCTGACAAAAAACTACCACTGTTATTGCTTCATGTTAACTAGGTTATTTTGAGTATTATATGCTAAAAAAATAAATCACAAAACAATAGCAATTAAACTATTTAAAGCAGCAAAAAAGCATGTTGTTATGTGTATTATGAAGGGAAATGCTGAATGCCAAAGTGTTTTCAACCAATTTCCATTCAATATGTGTTTTTTTTCTCTGTGTCACCATATATTCGCTTAGGATTTCTTCAAGAAAAAATTGTGTTATGTATATGTATACTACTCTCCATGTGTTTTCTGTTTATTAGATCTATCTGGATGTAAGTTTCATACTTTTAAGACAAATTACTTTATTTCTGTAATTACATTTTTTTATGTTTCAATTAGACAAACACTGGGTGAGTATATATGTTGTTTTATATACTTTGCATTAAATTTCTTGTTAAAGTGGGTTTTATTATGTTTCCTACTCTTTAAGATTTGAAAGGCCTTTTCAGGTAAAATTATTTGTTTAACATGATCTATTTTGCTATCCATCAAACAGCTGCAGTAGTTTGTGAAATACTGCAGGAAATTGTTTTTTAGGTCCTGCTATAATATGAACCTCATACAGTTAATGTTTCAAAATGAGGATAAAATTAAATGTTGAAAATGCTTAAGCACAGATTTTATCCTGCAAATCCTGAAATCAATGACTAGATTTATATAACTTTAGCAATACTACCACTTTCTCTTCAATTAATACCTCAAAATTCATGTCTGTTTCTGAAGAATAATAAAATATTTTTTTCTGCATTAAATGTATTGTTATTTTATGAGAATGTAGTATATTTCAGAAAGAGCTACAGATGGCATATATATATATATATATATATATATATATATATATATATATATATATATATATATATATATATATATGGAGATAGCTGTAATAGTGGCTGAGATCAGGGACTAAAGCAGCTAAAGTTGATGATGAAGCTGAAGATTTACAACCCAAAGCACAGCCTGCCTTTTTTTTGTGTTTCTTTATTGTAATGACAGATTCACCTGTTTTATGTATGTTTAAGTACATTAAAGGCTCATTTATAGGTTTCTAACTGTTGTAAGACTGTTTTTTTATAGAATCTCTGTGGATATGAATATACAGATCACTAGATGATTAAAGAGTCCTAAAATAATAGCCTGTAGACAAATCACAAATCAAAGTCAGGATAAAGTTTTTTGTTTTTTTTTACTGAACCATCTTAATAACAATGTACCTTTATTCGCAACAATTTGAGTGCAAAACTATTTATACCACATTTTTAGTTTCTATTAACCTGCTGATGAAGTTAAAACTTGATTACAAGGAAGGTCATTAATCTTAAGTGCAAATTCTATACATATTTTGTTGATGTCTCAGCAAATTTCAATTGTTTACTGGTAATAATTATTTCCACAATCAATGTATCACCATTATTCAGATCAACTGTTTCCGCTCTTGTCTGTCACATCTAAACTGTATTTTTACATCCAAACACATTTTTCAACTGAATGGAAAATGTTCACGGCTAAAGATTTGAAACATTTTAGGAAAGCACATTGAGTAAGCCATCACAGTTCATGCATGAATGTGTTTATCCCTGAAGCTGTTTCTCATTGATAATTGTATATCGTCTTCTTCATTATTCCATTTTGCTGCAAAATTAAAGGCTTGAGTGATTTTCTCCACAGTGAGGATTTTACTCTGCCCAGGGTTCATTTTTTGAGAAAAATGGACGAATAAATTGTTTCTTCTTGATGTTCATGACTAAATGTAAGAACGGTTACCTTTTTCATGGCTGTTTCAGCTTCACCTCTGTTGGACGACACATGAAACACTTTGCAAAAAAGGACACTCAGGTCTTCAGCAGAAAGCTCAGCTCCGGTTGATATACCCAGACACTGGTAAAGTGCGGTAATAAAATCCTGCAAGAGCACATCGATCTAAGCCTCGAGCTTTGTAGGAAAAAACAAAACAAAACTTAGAACCAGAAGGGTTGTTAAAACATCTTACCTCCTCCATATTTTCCCCACTCTGGGCTGATGAATTATAAAGAACATTACTAAGGTTACAGCAGCCAGATCAGTTTACCAAGAAACAAAAGGTGTTTGAGTTAACAGCAGATGGAGACATAGGGAAGTGAAATGTAAAACAGAATTTAAAGGGAAGGCTGTTAATTTCTTATGTTACTGAAAGAGTTTGCTGCTTCTTCTGCAACATCCATGCCAGATTCAAATGAATTCTTAGAGAAATCTTTAAAATGAACATTATCCCCCACCATTGAAAGGAGAAACACATTTCTATTTCAGTTTAATATGTCAAATCCTGCTTGAGATATGTTCTTATTGTTTTAAAGCAAAACCACCTTTTATCTATGTGGTTTATACCTAAAATATCAAGATGAAACAAGCTACATGTTTCTGTTTTTCTTCTCAGATGAAAACAAACAGACATAACTAAATACATTTTCAATCAAATTGATTTCAATGGCTTTATTAATCCAACTACACATCTTAAAGATAATAAGTCAAATTTCCTTCCTAGTGTCTGAATGGGATCTTTTCTCAATAACATTTAGGAAGCAGAATATCAGGAATGCATTGATCCCTGGAAAGCAATATACGCATAAATCAACAGGAAAACTAAAACATTTGTCGTGATTTTTAGTTTATTTCAGAATTATAAAATGAAATGAACCTGAGATTATTCTACATACAGTCAGACATTGCACATTTTTAACTAAATATACTTTTGCATATTTATAGAAAATATCTTATAAATGTGTAACAATACATTTGAAAGGTATGTGTGGTTTAAATACTCAGTGCTTGTTGTAAAAACATATTTTTCTTTAGTCATTATGTTAACATCTGTTGAATAAAGCACCCTTATCTTTTGTGTATATTCTGAGGTTGAACAGAGAAGCAGCTGAGCGTGCCTTTGTGCAAATCATCAGGCGCTCATCAGTAGCTGAGCGGTTGGAGCATCACTAGGGGCTGCCATGAATGATCTTGGGACACTTCTCTGGCTGAATGCAGTAGTTGTTGTGGAGAACCAGACCAGCAGGACACTGGCAGCCGGGGATGCAGGGCTTGAAACAGTGGCTCTCCATCACCCCCAGTGGTACGTCCACATTAAAGCACGTTACAGGACACGGAGGGCCACACTCATCAAACACAAAGCCCCTCTCTACAGGACAGCCCACAGCTGGTAGGGGGAGATAAAAAGACAAATATTTAGAAACAGTGATGTAAAAGGATGAGCAGGATTTTCTGTTCTGTTGTATAAAGAGGAAAAGGCTATTTTTTTTATGTGCACCCTTATGGAATCCAGGTGCACAGAAAACATGCAATAAACAACTTATATCTAATGTCCTGTATCCTTTTAAAGTAGTTTTGAGTAACATGTCTTCAAATGTAGTCAGATAAACAGAACACATAAAGAATTCTTCTGCCTTGTTTTTCTATTACACATATTTTCTTTCAGATAATCAAAATTAATAATGATACATAATTAACATAAATAAAAATATGAACCTTTAAAAAGATATTTTTATTCATTAAAGGGGTAAAAAGAAATATCTAAAGTAATAGAAAGAATAGGTTTTACTCACCACACAGTGATGCGCTCCTCCACTGCAGGATGACTCCTGCTTCTCTGCACTGGCTGGCGTAGGCCTCCAGTGTGTCACACAGACACTCATCTGTGTTTGCCCCGCAAGCACATTGGTCATAGACGCAGGCTCCGTACCATGGTTCAGGTGGAACAACACTGTGACAGGGCTTGAAGAGTGCAGACTTGAGAACCTTACAGCGGGTGTTGGCTCCTTTCCTGGCCTGGAATCCTGCACTTTTGCAGGGATTAATGTCTTCTCCGGGACGACACAAGGAGACTGAAAGGTTTCCACTTGTCATCTTAAATGAGAGGTTTTTAGAAGCGTGATGATTGATACCTTAGTGGTGTGTGCACTTTGTTAGTTTTCTCTTCATTCAGTCTGTTAAACATACCCTCCAGCTGTTGCCAAACTCCGACTCTGATGTGGAGATTTGGCCGGTGGACATTTTAAAGTCATCCTGCGGATACTTGTTGAAGTTTCCACAAAGACCACAGGTGTGACCCTCATAGGAGCCTGGCACGCTGACTTCAAGGTGTGAACGGGGACTCCACTGCACCTGAAGGCAAACCAAAAGATATTTGAGCATGTCATTTTAATGAATTTTACATTAGATTTGCGACAGTTCTGTACCTTTAATCCAATATTAGTGTTGAGTAGGACAGTGTTGGCTTGCTGCTCTATATAGAGATATGGCTCCATAAGAAAAGGCAATGACACCACCTCCTCATTCACCTAACGAACAAAAAAAAAAAAAAAACACAGCTGAGTGGACATATTGCACATTGAAAGAAGTTAAATTCCCATGTCATTTGGACAAAATAAAGCTAATTTTACAACTTAACAATTGTATTAATGATTTGAAACCAGTTATTACACTTTACCTAGAATACAAAATCCCTTATGATGTAAAAAAAATTAACACAAACAATTAGTTGCCATGTAAATATCTACTTCAGGTCTAATGTAATAGTATCAAATCACCACATGCT